ATAATTTTAATCTAATTTAAATCCAAAAGAGTTCTAAATTTTGAAATATTTTTGAATATTTTACACAACTTTATGCCACCAATTACTAATTTTTACTTTGCTCTTAATTCATAAGTATCAGGAATTGGCTTAGAATTTAACTTTTATTTACATCACTTTAAAAATAAATCCAACTGAGTTTTAGATTTGAAATATAGTTTTGAATACTTTGACATACTTTTCTAAATAGCACCTCAAAGTACTTTGTTTTACATAAATAGTACCATTTCTTGGTGAGATCACAAACCAACCGAAGGTCCATTTTCAATACCCGCTATCCCTTTTATTTACTCCACCCAGACAAGACGAAGAAGTGCCATGTCCACCAGCACGCCTGCGACAATGGCAAGTGCGTGGACTCGGGCCTGGTGTGCGATGGGACCAACGACTGCGGCGACAACTCCGACGAGGCCATGTGCGAGGCACCATCGGGATGCGAACCGGGGATGTTCCAGTGCAGCAGCGGATCCTGCATCGCGGCCAGCTGGGAGTGCGACGGCCGGATCGACTGCAGCGATGGGTCCGACGAGCACGACAAGTGTGGCCATCGCAGCTGTCCGCCGGACATGCACCGCTGCCTGTTGGGCCAGTGTCTGGACCGGAGTCTCGTCTGCGACGGCCACAACGATTGTGGCGACAAGTCGGATGAGTTGAACTGCGGACCAGGATCGTCATCGGGATCCACAGCGGTGAATATATCCTGCGGCGAGGAGCAGTATCAGTGCTCAAGCAATCTGAAGATCTGCCTGCCATCGGCCGTGAGATGCAACGGCACGGCCGAGTGTCCACGTGGCGAGGATGAGGCCGACTGCGGCGAGATGTGCAGCATCTATGAGTTCAAGTGCCGCTCCGGGGCACAATGCATCCGGCGGGAGTTCCGCTGCGACGGCGAAAGGGACTGTTCCGATGGCAGCGATGAGGTGAGCTGCGACCAGGAGAAGGCCAATCACAACCAGAGCCACACCCAGCCGTGGGGCACTTCGAGGAGGGCCTGTCGGCCCGATCTCTACGATTGCCACGACGGCGAGTGTGTGGACATGTCGCGGGTGTGCAACAACTTTCCGGACTGTGCCAACGGACGCGACGAGGGCCCCCAGTGCACGACGGCCTGCCGCGGGACAAGCGGTCGCAAGGTGTGCCAGCACAAGTGCCGGGCCACACCGGCCGGTGGCGTGTGCTCCTGCTTCGATGGCTACCGGCTGGACGCGGACCAGTCCAGTTGCTCGGACATCGACGAGTGCCAGGAGCAGCAGCCATGTGCCCAGCTGTGCGAGAACACCCTGGGTGGCTATCAGTGCCAGTGCCATGCGGACTTTATGCTGCGCCAGGACAGGGTCAGCTGCAAGAGCCTCCGCTCCGGTGCCACGCTGCTCTTCAGCAGCTTCAATGAGGTACGCAACCTGAGCGAACAGCCCGTCATGTTGTCCGTTGCCTGGTCGGCGAACGATTCGCGAATCGCCGGCTTCGATGTGGATATGGAGCGGCAAATGGCCTACTTTGCCTCCGACGAAGAGGGTGTCCTCTATCAGTACGATCTGCAGAGGAGGTACATCGTGCGCGCCTTGGGCCTGGCCACACCGACAAAGGTCTCCCTGGATTGGATCACCGGCAATGTGTATGTGCTGAGTGCTGGCGGGCAGGAGATTCAGGCCTGCAGCTTCGAGGCGCGCATGTGCGGCCGGATTGTGCACGTGAGGAGCCCCAGGCACCTGAAGCACCTGGCTGTGGATGGTTATCAGGCGAGGATCTTCTACATAGCCATACGCACGGAGGGCTTTGGCCACACCAGCTCGGAGATACACATGGCTCGGCTGGATGGCAGTCGACGGGATATGCTGCTGCAGCGGAGTGAGAGCTACATGACCGTGCTCACAACCGATCCTCACCAGCAGTTGCTGTACTTTGTGGACCTGCACAAGCGGACGCTGGAGAGGATCAGCTATCGGTACAAGTCGGGCATGCAACGCAGACCGGAGATAATGCTGCAAAAGTCCAATGCTCTGATGCATCCGTCGGGCTTGAGTGTGTACGAGAACGATGCGTATATCGTGAACCTGGGCTCCATCGAGGCGGTGCAGTGCGCCATGTACGGATCGCGGACATGCAAGAAGATCAATCTGAACGTGCTGAACGCCCAGGACATTGTAGTGGCCGGCAGATCCCGCCAGCCGCCGAAGGATTCGCATCCCTGCCAGCATGCCCACTGCCATGGGCTGTGCCTGCAGGCGGACTACGGCTACGAGTGCATGTGCGGCAATCGCATGGCGGCCGAGGGCGAACGGTGTCCCCATGGATCCGGCAGCGAGGTGATCATCGGCACCGACCAGGGCAACAGCCTGCAGCTGGAGCTGGAGCAACGGCTCCAGCAGTCCAGCACCGGCAGCCACTGGCTGATGGCGCTGCTCGTGTTGGCCGCTGGATGTTTGGTCGCCGGACTGGGGTACATGTACTATCAGTACCGGCAGCGCGGCCACACGGATCTCAACATTAACCTGCATTTCCAGAATCCGCTGGCGACGCTCGGCGGCACCAAACACTTCTTGGAGCAAGAACGTGCCGAGGCCGGAGTTCAATTCGCACCGGGATCGGAATCAGGATCGGGATCGGTATCGGTATCGGGGACGGGAACAGGCTCCAGCCGGGGCAGCAACGACACGTTCACCACCACCAGCGTATCGTCATCGTTCGTGCCGAATGCGTTGCAGCGACTGCTCCGACCAGGACGGCAGTCGTCCAGCGATCCGATGGCTCAGGAATTGCTTCTCGAGAGCCCCAGAGTGAGTGAATGCATGGAGAAAGCTACACGATCCCAATGATAACCATCCATCCAACTATCCATCCAACCAACCATCCGGCGCCGCACAACAGGAGAGCAGCCTACAGCCGCTGGACGGAGGACGGCAGGGCAGTGGGCAGGTGCCAGACATCCTGGTGGAAGACTTTGACGACGACGACGATACCGCCGCACAATTCGGCGGGGGAAGTTACGCAGGCAATGATGCGAATGCACGAGCTGTGCCGTAAATAAAGGGAAACCCCCCCATCCGGAGAAAGTTTTTCACCAAATTACAGCTGCTTAACTTGTTATCACTCTATGTATTTATTATTGTATTCATATGTTTATCGGTGATTGGTACTGCTTTATTTAAGATGATTTATACTTCAAAATGGCTTAATAATAATAAGAAACTAAACATCAAACATTATATCGTTCTATTTTCGAATACTGACTTTGTAGAAAAGTGATCAAAAGCCTGTACATTTCAGTCCAATACATTTCCTAAATAATTCCGATCTCGAAGTGGTATACTATATGTGAATTGATTCCCAAATTTGCATTGAAATCTCTATTTAAAAGTTGGAGTCAATTTTTTGTTCATTCTAATTTTTTTTTTTAATTATCGAAAAACTACACTTTTAAGTCAATAATTTTTTTAGCAAACATCCGATATTGAAGTAGTATACTTGTAAATTTTCGTTCTTTGATATCCTCCAAATCTCAGTTTTTAATATGGGTTTTTGAAGTTTTTTTGTTTTTTTTGTAGAAATTGTTCGTGTAAATCTATATTTAATATCTATTTTTTTAAATATATTTGTATGTACATTTTTCTAGGTGACTACTTGAACTAATTTTTAAGAGTGTTAACCCAATACTGCACCCGGGTGGCAACGCCTTATTGTCCGCGTATTGTCCATTTAAATCAATCACTACACACTGGAATATCGCAAAAGGATTGCACCAAATACAGAGTGATTAATTGGCTGGTCATGATGTCAGCGCGATGTCTAGAAATTACCAAACCTCGGACAAAAATTACTGCAGTGGGAAACCGCGGGATCCGCGACAGAAACCGAAACAGAAACAGATATAGAAATACATATCATCTGCCCGTTTGGATGACGATGACCCATTGCAACAATTAATAACGGTTATGCCGCAAGATTTATGAGCGACGACATATAAACAAGACCAAAGCGCTTTAGCCGTCGACCGCGAAATGTCATAAAAAAATGTAGAGACAAAACCAAAACCAAAACACGAATCCGAACCCGAATCCGAATTGCTTGGCTTAGCTTATAGCAATAGCTGCCTGGCTTAGAAACCGAAACCAGAAGAGCACTCACAAATTGTATAATTAAGGAAAAGAGCGAGTGCGACTTCACACGCCGTAGGGGGCGTGCCGCACTCGTAAAAATAAAACTAATGCAAAGCCAAACCCAAACTTAAACCTGGGAATGCACTCAGAGAAAAGCGATAGTGTGAATGAGCGATTTCTAAAACGAATATTCTTTGGGCCTATACAAAATGTACACAAAATTGGCCACAAAGCTTCAAACATTTTCTTGTTTTAATAGTAAGTAAAAAGAAGGGCCACACAAAATTAACCAATTTTAACTATTTAATGTTAATAATTAATTGATAATAATGAAATCAAGTCAAAAAATTAAAAAATTAAAAACATTTATTTTAATGTTTTTTGAATTATGTGAACAATAGTCTGTTGAAAAAAAAACAATAACGCTTAGTACAAACGTAGAAAGCTTAAGTACTGGTTGAAATTCGACATTGGCTACTAAGTATTTGGTCGGATTTAAATAAAATTAAAATGGCATTTCTTCCAGTGTATACACTGTATAAGGCACTGTTCGGCGAACGTGGTTTTTCCACGGCCAGACAATTTCGGGGCTTCTCTGCCGGATGAGTCGTGGGATATCGAACGAGCTGCGATGGCGATGACAACCGAACATGACGAACTTCCCAGAGCAGCTGGGATTCCGAGTCGGAGTCGGAGTCTTCTGTCCGGTTGCCCATTGCCCGTTGAGTAATGGGCCCTGTCTGCCGACATGTCCACATGTCCAAATGTCCACAGCGCGCCAAGGCGTTAAAATCAGTTGTAAAGTATCTGGGGTGCACACTGCGATTCGCGCTTAGAAGCGTATAAAAACTAGACCCGGCCAACGGATCAGCAACAGTTGATCGTCGGCTTCCACTCGGTGCATACAGCTCTAAGAACCCCAATCCTCATCCAGGACCAGCCAGAACTTATCCCAAAAATTCTAAAAATGGTAAGTAAAAACTACACATACAATAAAAACCATAAAACACTCTTACAAATATATAAATTAAAACTAAATTTGTAGTTTAAAATACTTTACTTAAATTCCGACATAAGTCTTAATCTTATTTAAATTTATATCAATAAATTGCCTTAAAATTTGATAGAATTTAGTTTTTAAAAATACTAAAAACGGTAAGTGAAATCCGTAAAAAACGATAAATCACATATTTTGGAAATTTAAAAAATATAAGATAATGCTGTCCAAAAAATTTAAGTGCTGACGAGTTGGCAAATTCGGTACTTAATTTTAATTTAATGGACATTTTTTTTTAATTTCATTAAATAAAAATCTAAAAGTCTAGAAATATAAACCAACGATATTTTCAAAAACTTATATATATATATATATAACTTTTTTAATTCTTTTGGCTTGTCTATATAAATTTAACAACATCTACCTACTTAAATATGAAAAGAAGACAAAACTGTATAAATTTAGGTACATCTGTTGATTTTATAAAAATTAACTCTCATAACATAACAAACTAAACTAATTGCAATTAAATGAGTAATAGCCAAACCTTAAAACGTTTTAAGCTAATAAAGCTTTTTAAGATTGTTGCAATAATATAGAACTCAAGATTCTGATTCGAACCTCAACCATCAATATAGAAATTTGGTTTAAAAGGTTTAAATTAAAAAAAATATTGATATGTCTTAAATTTAATAAGAAATAAAAAAAATGTTGAATTCTCTTAATAAATTTTCCGATTTCAAATCCTCAGAACTCCCTAACCGTATTCGCAATCTTGGCCGCCTCCGTGGCCTTCTGTGCCGGCGATGTGTCGCACTTGTCGCGCAGCTATCTGCCCCCCTTGAGCGGTGGCTACACTGGTGGCTACTCCGGCGGCTACTCCTCGTACCCGTCGTACTCGAGCGGATCCGGATATTACTCCGGCGGAGTTGGCTCCAGCTACGCCTCGCCGGTGGTCTCGTCCAGCTACAGGAGCTATGCGGTGCCGCAGTACACCACTTATGGCACTCCATCGCGCACCTATTTGCCGGCGAACACTGGGTACACCGGCTACACCGGATATTCGGGCTACTCCGGCCTAAATGGCATCGACACCAAGTACGGCAGCAATGGCGGCTATGTCTACTAGGCCAACATTTCGGGAGGCATCCTATCCTGGCCAGCAACAATGGAGCAAGCGGACATGTATATTCCTATAATTTTTTTTTTTTTGCCTCTGCTAAGCTATTATTTTGTGCAATTTATGAATACTAAAATTTTTCAAACGCTTTACACTGATTAACATACATGGCAGTGCTTATAATTTGGGTGGGAATTTTTGACACTTCATTTTTTGGTCTTTTAAAGGAGCGGGCTGATCCTTTAAGTAAATGTTTGGAGATTTTTTGGAAAGTCTAAAATGCAATAACGCCTTAGTCGTTATGTATAAAACAAACGTTTGCTTACCTTAAAACGTTGACTGTTTTTTTAGCTATGCTGTATGATCAACTTCTTAAAAGTATTCCTATATGTAAAAAGTTAAGTATTTACAAAAAAAAATTTGATTTTTTAAAAACCTTTCTTCCTACACAAAAATTGTGGGCAATAATTTTGAAAATCTCATCCTATTAATTAATACAGTTTAATACGTCTTTGACATAATTGACAATTATTTTAATGGTTAGCTTAATGATAAAATAATACAAAAATATATAAATTAATGAAACGTTTCAACCCTCCTGTGGTACTGATAAACTTAGCCACATTTAAACTTATTAAGTTTAACGTAAATTTCGTGAAACTCAGAAACTTCCTATAGATGTTGACTAAACCTGTTATACCTTCTGCCACAAAATAATTAAAAAATGTCAATTTCTCTGGCTATTGCATTTTTAAGTTTATTTCGCTTGATAAAAAAAAAAAGTTTTACAAAATATTGTTTAGTTATTTGTTCGCTTTTGTAGAGATCCTTTTAATGCTTCAGGCGGTATTCATAGCCTCCATTGGAAGCGTAGGAACCAGATTTATGCCCAGATCCGAAGCTAGATCCGTGTCCTGATCGGAGGCCAGATCCTTGAAGAGACACATGACTGGCTCCAGATCCATATCCCGATCCCGAGTAACTAGCATGTGAGACAGCTGGGGCGGCATAGCTCTTCCTGGAAGCCACAGGCGCCGAATAGGAAACGTGGGAAGCTGCAGCAGCTGGAGCGGAATAGGATGATCCATGGGAGTAGGAAGATCCATGGGAAACGGCAGGAGCGGAGTAGGAAGATGATCCATGGGAAATAGCTGGAGCGGAGTAAGATGATGATCCATGAGAAACGGCTGGAGTGGAGTAGGATGATCCTACGGAGCTATAGCTGGATTGGGATGCAGCCGGAGCCAGATATTGCCTGGATGGAGCAGCAACTGGTGCCGAGTAGCTCGTGTGTGAGGCAGCTGGTGCGGAATACGAGCTATACGAAGCAGCTGGAGCGGAATAGGAGCCATGAGAGGCGCCTGCCGAGGAGTAGGATCCATGGGACACTGTAGCCGGAGCAGCATGGCTCTTGTGGGAAACGACGGGAGCAGCGGAGTAACTGCTATGGGACACGGCAGCAGGAGCTATATACTTCCTGGAGGGCACGGCCGATGAGTACGATCCATGGGATGCAGCTGGAGCGGAGTACGATCCATGGGATGCAGCTGGAGCGGAGTACGAAGATCCTCCCGAGCTATAACTGCCATAAGATTGGGATGCAGCTGGAGCCAGATACTGTCTGGAAGGAGCTGGCTTTCGGGCAAAGGTGGCCGCTGGAGCAGCATAAGATCCCGAGGAACTGGAGGCAGCCGCACTATACCCACTCTGGGCACCCACCTTGGGTGGCAGATAGGAATTGCTCAATGGGCTGGCGCAACCCGCCGAGGCCAAGGCCAAAATCACAATAGCAAAGGAGCGCTGCGAGGAATGAAACCATGTGAGTACCAAACTTAATCCCGGGAAGTGAACTTACCATCTTAATGGTTCCACTTGGTTTTTCTTAATCTTTTGCAAGCTGCTGTTCCAGCGTTGTGGGAAGTGGAACTGATGCCGCAGCAGACGTGAGCCGACACTTTTATAGGAGACCCCGAACAATGGGTGTGCAGGTGGGTACAAATCTTCCAATCGCCCGAAAGACGCACACACAAAAAAAAAAAAAAATAAAGATAAAAAACTAGAAAAAAGCACAAAAAATAAAGCGATACTATTAGAACGCAATGGAATGGGGCGGCAAGAGTTTATTTTTTTCGTCTTCTACTGGTGTTGATGATCATAGTTTCGGTGGCTGATGTTGGTTCAACGCACACTGGGCTACATCACAATACTTCGGAAGTAGCACTTTAAACGACATACTTTTATTTTCCACCCTTTGTTAGTGCAAAAATTAGTAACATTTAAAAATTAACATTTTTCCCACGCTCAATTACCTCTTTACACAAAAAGAAAAATGCAAAAAGTTCAGTTTCTCGATAACCAGATACCTCGTATACATAAAAATAAACTTCTATTTTTTTAGTATATTTAAATTCTTAGTATGTTAAAAAAAATATTATAATATTTTGAACACGATTAAACAAATTTGCAGAATATATAGATAGATACCTACGTAAACAAAGTATGTTGTTTTAATAGAGAATTTGACAGATTTTAAATTAGACTTTTTATACTTTTAACACAAAATTTCGTTGGTTTCTGAAGGGCAAAAAGTAAAAAAATTAAAAAATACCTTTTTAATTTCTAGACAGCTATCTTGTTATTAAAAAATTTATCAAATACAAATTTTAAAGCCACTTGTTTTTTAGAAATACAAAATTAAATTATTTTTAAGTTTCAAAACCTTGTTGGACAGTGCCAATGAAGAATGGCGCGATTGGAGGATGTCGTAGACTCTATTTATTTGACTGCTTATTTTTAGCCCTGTCCATTTCGGAAGTCGCCGGGAGTAATTAATGATGCGCTGTGCCGCGGGTGAGAAGATCGCGGGTTCGTGAGCCGGGTAATCCAAGCTAATCCAATCCAAGCTGAAAAAGTTCAAAAAGACACTAGCATATTGGATTGGATTGGATTGGATTGAATTCGAATCGAGAGCCCCCATGCACTGACAGCCCGCGTTTTAAAGCAACGATTACTCACCACACACATTAATTATAATCCACACATATCGGGCTTAATGGTCAGACACCTTTTCGCTTGTACCCAAGTGTTTATGTCTTTTGCGTGCGTTTATATAATTAAAAAAAAAAAAGAACAGAAAAAAAAAAACAAAATGCTAAAAGAGAAGAGGAATTAACAACAAACAAAAAATTGTTCAAAGCAAAAATTAAAAACAGGGGGATAAGATGTTAAAAATACCCTTGTAGGTCTATATGGTCAATGCAATTTGCTAAAAATTGTCTGTGCCATTGGGGGGGAATTTCTTGTTGAACAATTTATAGCCATAACTGTTTAAGAAGCAGAGTTGTTATCATAAGCACATAATTTACTACCTGTTTGCTTTTGTCTAAAATCCATTTCAATTCCATTGTGGTAAACAAATATAAAATAGTATACAAATACTTTGACTTTTGGCCAGAGAAGATGCATTTTCAAGCTATGAGTATTGGTAATCGATTGACCAAAATATAAATGATGTTATTACTATTTTCTATAATCTTTATTTATGTTAAAAATTTGAATTTTAAAATCATTTCTTTATAGATCTGAATAAGCTTTTGTTAAATGCTTTCATACCCGTTTCTTTAAGAGTAAATCAAAGGAATGAAAGAGTAATTAATTTTTTGCTTTCGAGGTGCGTACTTGAATAAGGTGAATAGTCAATTGGGATTGTTTTGAAAGTTCATTTCTGACTGAGAATCGATTGGGTAAAGTAATCTTCACGCAGGTCAGTTTGCCAGTGACTTTTAACAAAATTCGACCATGAATCAAATTTAAATATATTTGCATAATCTTTTCGTTTTGCATTTTAAAAATGGAAGAAAATTCCATTTACCTATTCTAATGTGTTGTATAAGTTTTCTTTTAATATAAAATATGTGTGCGAACAATTGTTTTATTTTTTCTGTGGCAATGATTCACTATATTTTTCCAGACATAATAATCAAAAATTGTATTTTATTTTATATCGAACTAATTATAAAAAAAAGTAATATGTCCATATATAAATTAACTAAAAACTACAACAGATGCAAATCAAGGCGAAAAATATTTAATTTGAGTACAAAATACTTTGATTTACTACTATTTTTTGTATCAGTGTATTAGGGCTTGGTTTTGTGTTCCAGGTCTTTGGCGTAGGCCACAAACAGGATGTTATGCTTGCTGGCCACTGGTTTCCCGTCATCCTGGTCGTGTCGCACCTCCAGGACGTCCGATTCCAGATTGACGGCGCCGACTATTTGGCCGGGCTTCAGGTAGTAGTTCTGTCCCAGCGAAGTGGGTCGATGCTCGGTCACGAAATGATACCTCATGGACTCGTCGTCCATTCCCTGAATGACCAAATTGGGCCGCCTAGTGGTCACCATCGCATCCACTTCCATTTCCATTTCCATACCCGCATGGGTCACTGGTTGGGCGCCAATTGATGCAATCAGTACCATTGCGAAGATTATAAAACCCTTGGTCGTCATGACTTAATGTAATGTGATGGATCCGATTCCGATTCCGAATTCGAGTATGAAATGAAAACCGATTTCTTCCGTCGGCGATGACTTAATGAGATTCTGAGTCCGCCTGCGGCATTCTTTTATATCCTGAGCTGCGATTCCAATTCTTGAGCTGAGCCTTCAGGAAGAGCTCTCTGTTTGCCGAATAATGGCCTCATTCTTGAGCGCTCTTCAGCCAAGATTCGATTGTTTTTTTTTTCCCTTACCCGCTTTGGGCATAACACGTTTTTTGGACATTAACCCGATTTCGATTTCGCACCAAGCGATACAATTTATAAATGTATGCACACTTGTATATATGTACATCGGTTGTATATAATGCATTCACAAGGGAAACGGCAAACACAAAATGCAAATTCGGACATATCGCCATATGGGCATCTGTATATATATCCGTATAGGGTACAAAACATAAATTCACGTTGCCAGTTGCACGATCTCCATTGGAACCGTATAATTAATAAGCTCTGCTCTCTTAATGGCAAGTAAATGTTGACTAGTCTTATTTATTTATAATTTTGCTCGATATTCGGTATTTATGAGTTCTTGATTTCCTCTGTTAAAGTCTTTATCGCAATGGTTTCTCAGGTTTGTATAACATTTTGCTAGCACATTTTCATGGTTTGATCACTGGGTCAAAAAGAGTTATAAATTGATTGCATTATATATAGGATTTGTATTAAGACATTTGACTAATTTATTTGGCTATGTTGTTGCGATTTGATGACATTTTTATAGGATTTTAAGGTGGCAAGGTGAAAAGAAACTTGCTTTTGTTTAACTTTCAATAAAAGCTTAGTTTTAACTGTGCAATAATTGGAAGCTGTGCTTTTAACTTGAAAACTGAAAGTTCACCCGACATCGTCTGTATAACAACTATCTAATATCTATAAACATGTTTTAAAATGTTAGTTTAATTAACTAGGGTCTTGGAATAAAATAGAGAGCGAAATAATGAACGACAATTTTTAAAATTGCGATTTTGGTAACTTTCCATTTCTGAAAATCAATTAGTACTTTATTTTTTAAAGACTTTTTAAAGTTATTTATCAATCAAGTTAAATAAAATATGTTTCCAAAATACAGAAATTGTTAATATAAATTTAAATTAAATCTGTTCAATGCTGTTAAATATACTATAGGAATGTAAGAAATATTAAATTTTTTTGAAGAATCATATAATTTATTTTTTATTCCCGGATGTATGCAAAGGCGATTAAGCCTCTCGGGTAATCCCATAAATTTATGACTGAGTGTCTTAGAACTGGCCAAACCAGAAAAAATATTTAACTTCTTAGACAGCCAACTATGTAGGATTGGGGAAACTAAATGAAACATGCACTGGAACAGGTTTAAGAGCCAAGACTATAATCTCTGATTACTCTTGCTCTAATATTTGCTCATCCAATTCCAGGTACTTATATTAATAACTTTGGCTTTTAACACGTTTTACACTTTACTGATTGAATGATTTCAAGCCAGACTTGCTTAAAATATTTTCCTTTAAGAAATATTTTTAAATAAATCACAGATTATTAAGATGTTAAGCCCGACAGGTAAACTTTTTTTTACTAGTCTGTTTAAGATCAAAATAAAACGATATTTGATTTGTTTTAGCACATTACATTCGATTTATTATTGTAAGAAAAAAAAAAGGTTTCGTCGTATATGGATTAGCTTCGTATTTGGGATGCTCGCAGTCTTTAGTAGACGTATCCGCCGTTGGAGCCGTACACGGTGCCGGAGGATCCGTATCCCGATCCGGATCCGGATCCGTATGCAGATCCGGAGTGGCTGCTGACCACAGCGGGAGCTGAGTAGCTGGACACAGCTGGGGCGGAGTAGGTCTTGGAGGAGTAGGTGGACACAGCTGGGGCGGAGTAGGTGGACACTGCTGGGGCGGAGTAGGTCTTCACCACGGCGGGAGCAGTGTAGGTCTTAGTGACCACGGGAGCGGAGTAAGCCTTGGTCACCACGGGAGCGGTGTAGGTGGACACAGCTGGGGCGGAGTAGGTCTTGGAGGAGTAGGTGGACACAGCAGGGGCGGAGTAGGTCTTAACCACAGCGGGAGCGGTGTAGGACTGGGTGTAGCTGGACACAGCTGGGGCGGAGTAGCTCTTGACCACAGCGGGAGCAGAGTAGCTCTTGACCACGGCGGGAGCGGTGTAGCTGGACACAGCGGGAGCGGAGTAGCTCTTGACCACGGCAGGAGCGGTGTAGGCCTGGGTGTAGCTGGACACGGCAGGGGCGGAGTAGGTCTTCACAACAGCGGGGGCGGTGTAGGCCTTGGTCACCACGGCGGGAGCGGTGTAGGTCTTCACCACGGCGGGGGCGGTGTAAGTGGACACAGCTGGGGCAGAGTAGCTGTAGGTGGAGGCAGCCGGGGCGGCGGAGTAGCTGGAGACAGCGGGAGCCGAGTAGGACTTGGTCGCCACGGGAGCGACGTAGCTGGCAGCGGGCTGCTCGTAGGTCTCCTCGGCGGCGGTGGACTCGGCGGCATAGGAGGCGGTATCGTCCTCAGCAGCCGGAGCGGCATAGGACTCGCTGGTGAAGGAGGCAGCGGGGGCGGAGTACGACTCGCTCTCGTAGGTGGAGGCCACGGCGGCAGCGGGAGCCTCATAGGTGGAGGCCACGGCGGCAGCAGGTGCCTCATACGACTCGTAGCTGGTGGAGGCAGCCGCCGAGTGGGGGGGCAGGTAGGTGTTGGTCAGATGGCTGACATCGGCCGAGGCCACGGCCAAAAGGGCAAGCGAGAGGATGGCGAAGAATTTCTAAAAGTACAAAGAATATTTCAAATGTATATGATATTTCTTGTTTTGGGATATATATCCTTTGAACAGGATCCGAGGAGAAAGCTAGTGGCTTACCATGTTGCTGGGACCGAAGTTGTGAGAACACTAGTACCTTGTCCACCGGCAAACCATTTATTTATAGTCGCAAAGCCGACAATGTCCGGCCCAACTTGATACACGAATGTCAAAAGGCGCTACAAAACCAGAACAAAACCACACAAACTATATCGTCTATAGCAAAAAAAAACAAGCGTCGAAAATAAAAGAGCCATAATAATGAAGCATTTCGTCTGCGGAGCTCATTAGTCGCCAATAATATTCCGACTTTTCGCCATTCCCCTTCCCCCCTCCATTTTAATTCTGTATCTAAGTCCCCCATCCGATTCTAATTCTGAAGTCCAATTCTATTCGCGAATCGGAGATGTTGTTGATAAAAGACTGGGGGAAGAAATGCTATACATGAGAAATGGCAAACAGGGGGGCTCCATACGAAACTCGTTATTGAACTCCATTCATAAGTCGGTTCCGTCACTTACTCAGCCATCCATCAAGGCGGAACCAGTGGTTAAGGCAAAGGCGAAGGCGAAGGCAAAGGCAGTCCCATACAAAAGCCCTCGAAGAAGAGCAGTTACTCCATTAATCATTATCGGGAATTTACCTGGAAAACAATAGCTTACAGGGCGGAAAACTTGAGTGGGAATATCCCGAAGCTTCAGACATCCTTGAAATTTCTATAGAAAAGTAAACAATCAAACAAACCCTATCACACATTATATATATTATTACTGCTCACAAACTTTTGAACTTTTGATAACAAAAGACTTACAGATCAGGACTTTTTGTACAGTGATCATCAAACTCAATATCTGCTGGGCCTTTCCCATTTCAAAGTAATTAATTTATTTATAAAACTTTCTAAGGTCTACTGAACCCAGTAAACACTTTTTATTTATTCTTCCCAGAAACATCAATAAATATTAGCAGCTTAAGAATTTAATTTAGCTATTAGATGATTATGTATCTACCTTACTTATAATTTATTATAACACAAAAGCCGCTTGAAGGTGATTTATAAATGATTGGCTTACCGTTTTGTGAAATTGCTATATTTCAAGTCACACATAGAATATGGAGTTTCATGATAAGTACTGGAATTTCAAGAATTGTTCTAAATATGTGTGATTTATTCATCACTTGCTTTTGTTTTTTATAAAGCAGTTAGATATCAGTTTTCAATGATTTAAATGGTTCAAATATAATTAGTTGAAACAAACATACTTAAAATCTTCAAAAGGATTTTCTTTCATAAGTTATAGTATTTTATCCATAAGTATTTACGCCTAATAAAAATGCGAAGAGAAGTGACCGCGATTGTTGGATTCTTGCTTCTTTTGAGCTGTTATTTCCTTATAAAATAGGGCCCAATTTTAATGTAGGAAATATTACACCATAAAAAGAAATAACACCAAAAATTGAATTTAACCTCGTTGTTGTTGCTTTGGCCTTATTTCGCAGCGCTATTTATTATGCTGTCATTTGCATAATTTATAGTTTTCCTGTCAATAAACCATTTAAATGAGGGCATAGTTTTTTTTTAATAACAAAAACAGTTTATTGGTTTAAAAAATTGTAAAACAATAAAAAAGGTGCTAGAAATTGGCTACGTAATAACTAAGTTCAGATGAACCGATCGGCGATTGACGTTCGATCCACAACTCGATGCGAGTTCGGACCTCCGCCGGGGTCCGTTCACGGGCATCCTATTTGTACAGGTATCCCCCGTTGACGGCGTAAGTGGTTCCGATCTCCACGGGCACTGGAGCGGGAGCTGGAACTGGAACTGGAGCAGGAGCAGGAGCGGGCTGGGTGTAGGTCACCTGCTGTTGCACCGCCTGAGGAGCATACTGCACAATGGGTTGGGATGGCTGCTGGACTTGGATGGGGGCAGGTGGTGCTGGAACAAAGGATTGCTGCAACTGCACTGGAGCAGGAATGGAAATGGGAGCAGGTGCAGGAGCAGGGAGCGACACCTGAACCGGAACTGGAGCTGGCGCTGGCTGGGGCGACTGGTAGGAGTAACCACTATATTGCTGGACAGGTTCAGAAATAGAAACTGGAGCCGGAGCGGAGTAAGTCTGCTGAGCCACAGGTGCCGGAGCTGGAGCGGAGTAAGTCTGTTCCTGGACAACCGGTGCGGGGGCGGAGTAGGTCTGCTGAGCCACTGGAGCAGGTGCACTGTAGAATTGTTCCTGAACCACTGGAGCTGGAGCTGAGTAAGACTGTTGAACCACGGGAGCTTGTTGAGCCACAGGAGCTTGCTGATAAACAGGAGCTTGCTGAATGACAGGAGCTTGCTGCACCACTGGAGCTGGGTAAGAGTATGTCTGCTGAGCAACTGGAGCAGGAGCGGGAGCTGGTGCAGTGTAAGTCTGTTGAACCACCTGAGTTTGTTCCTGAACCACTGAAGCTTGCTGGATAACTTCCTGTACTGCAGGTGCTTTCTGAATCACTTCCTGAACCACTGGAGCTTGCTGAATCACCGGAGCCGGAGCACTATAGGTCTGATGAATGACCGGAGCTTGCTGAATCACTGGAGCTTGTTGAATCACTGGAGCTTGCTGAATCACTGGGGCTTGCTGAATGACTGGAGCTTGCTGAATAACTTCCTGCACCACTGGAGCGGGAGCGGAGTAAGTCTGCTGAACAACAGGAGCTTGCTGAATGACTTCCTGAACTACTGGAGCTTGCTGAATAACAGGCGCTTGCTGCACCACTGGAGCTGGGTAAGAGTAGGTTTGCTGAGCAACTGGAGCGGGAGCTGGAGCACTGTAGAATTGTGGTTCCTGTACCACTGGAGCGGGAGCTGGAGCGGCGTAAGTCTGCTGAACCACTGGAGCGGGAGCGGGAGCTGCATAAGTCTGTTGAACGACGGGAGCAGGAGCTGGAGCGGAATAAGTCTGTTCCTGGACAACCGGAGCTGGGGCTGAATAAGTCTGCTGAGCCACTGGAGCAGGGGCGTAGACTGGTTCCTGCACCACTGGAGCGGGAGCGTAGACTGGTTCCTGAACCGGAACTGGAGCAGGAGCAGGAGCAGGAGCTGGAGCGGAGAAAGTCTGATGCACCACCTGGTGCTGTTCATGAACGGCAGCAACTGGAATTGCAACTGGAACTGGAGCGGGTGCGGGTGCCGCGTAAGTAGTGGTGATGGTCTCCTTCTGTGCTTGTGGTGCAGTGGTCTCAACCACTGGTTCCGGAGCGGGCACAAACTGCTGGACGGGAGTGGGTGGCAAATAGGCGTTGCTCACCGTCGTCTGGGTGGCCACAGTGGGCTTGGGTGGCTCATAGATCACCTGCGGAGCTGGCTGGGAGATCTCCACGGGCGCCGGGGCAGGAATGCTAACTGGAGCAGGGGCAGGGGCAGGGGCAGGGATTGAAACTGGAGCCGGAGCACTCTGATAGTGCTGCTGACCGCCAGATTGGATGGTGAAGCTGGCCAGTGGAATGGAGGCCTGGATGGACTCCACTTGAGCCTGGATCTGGGGCTGAATGTGGATCTGCGACTGGATGGCCTGCTGGATCTGTGGCTGCACCACCTGCTGGAAACTGGGCGCGGCGGACACCTGCTTCACGGGCAGAGGTGGCAAGTACTGGCCACCCGGACGTCCACTGACCACCACGACCAAGCTGAACGCAGCCAAAACGACAAAGGCAAAGGATTTCTGCACATCATAGAAGAGACAAACATCACAATATCACTGGGTTGGTAATCACTTGAAAAAAAGAGATATTGGGGGGCTTGATTGAGATGGCCACTTACCATCTTCACTCGGGAATCACAAAACACGGGGAGCTAGAGGTGCACCGAGCGAACGTAACCGATTAACTGATGACCATCTTGGAGACTCCATCTGCATTTATAGTTGGCCAGCTCTCTTTCCCCTTAATTGGTGCGATCCACCAGATGTCGAGATTTTTACATGTTGACTGGCAATGGGAATGCTAATGCAGATGGCCAACAATGAAATCATGCAAAACACATCTCATTTTCGCTGCGGATTATTAAATGGCCAAAGCCACAACTCGTGGCAGAGTCAAAAAAAAAAAAAAAAATAAAATAAAACATTTCGTTTGATAACAAACAGCCCAATACAGCTGAGGCCCCTGAGGTTACACATCAAATTTTAATGTGCATTTTAATTTTTCTGAGGACTCTATTTCTTATGATCTGCACGTCTTTAATGCTCCACATGGGATCATATAAATATGCATCGATAAATTATTTAAAATTTTAAAATGCAATTCCCATAAAAGCTGCACAAACCATAACTAACTATTGTTATTTAAAAAAAAGTGAACTTAAATATTGAAAAGTTACTGCCATAAATGTTCTAGTTTCGTACTTATATAAACCTAAATTAAAATTATGCAACTAAAAATTCTTTTCTTTCTATCCTGCTTTATTCTTTTGCCATTTATTACAAAATTTGTATTTTATTTTGCATAGTTTTTTTCACTGCAGCTAAGACTAACATAAAGTTTAAAAAATCAATGGGTGTGCATAAAGTGTTTAAATATTTATTTATTGCTGGTTGGCATGGATTATGTTCATCTGGCCAATTTACACCTTGGATACTTCAACTTAAAGAGTCGAGTGCATTGACTTTGGTTTTCAATGGGTGACATAACATGCATTGCCTTTGGGTTTTTTATTTGTTTATAGTAACATGGCTTCTACTTTAATTTATTATTATTAGCTTTATTGAGATATAAAAAAAGATTTGTCTGAATATATTTCTAAGTCATACTGACTTACAATATTTTATATGAAAAACAAATAGATAATTTAAGCTTCTTAACGGTTTAAAATTTAAAAAGATATAATAAACGGAGACTCAAGCACTTGCATGATTTATTAGATGGAATGTATGTACTGAAATCATCATAACTTACAGCAAATGAAGAAATTTAATTTATTTGACATATTTCTAAGAAAGAGGTTTGCTATGTGAAACCGAAACATTCCCAAAAAACGACCTTTTTATACCCTTGCAGAGGGTATTATAATTTCAGTCAGAAGTTTGCAACGCAGTGAAGGAGACGTTTCCGACCCTATAAGTATATATATTCTTGATCAGCATCACTAGTAGAGTCGATCTAGCCATGTCCGTCTGTCCGTCTGTCCGTCTGTCCGTCCGTTTATATGCGAACTAGTCTCTCAGTTTTAAAGCTATCTGCATGAAACTTTCCCAAAAGTTGTCTTTCTATTGCAGGTAGTATATAAGTCGGAACGAGCCGGATCGGACGACTATAGCATATAGCTCCCATAGGAACAATCGGAAAAATAAATGAAAAAAAATTATAACTTTGCTGTTTTTTAATTTTTTTTTTAGTTCTTCGACATATAGCAATGGTTAAATATTTCAGAATTATGGTTTAAATTTCATCAAAATCGGACGACTATAGCATATAGCTCCCATAGAAACAATCGGAAAAATAATTGAAAAAAAATTATAACTTTGCTGTTTTTTAATTTTTTGTTTTGTTCTTCGACATGAGGCAATGGTTAAATATTTCAGAATTATGGTTAAAATTTCATCAAAATCGGACGACTATAGCATATAGCTCCCATAGGAACAATCGGAAAAATAATTGAAAAAAATTGTAACTTTGCTGTTTTTTAATTTTTTGTTTAGTTCTTCGACATATAGCAATGGGTAAATATTTCAGAATTATGGTTAAAATTTCATCAAAATCGGACGACTATAGCATATAGCTCCCATAGGAACAATCGGAAAAATAATTGAAAAAAAATTATAACTTTGCTGTTTTTTAATTTTTTTTTTAGTTCTTCGACATATAGCAATGGTTAAATATTTTAGAATTATGGTTTAAATTTCATCAAAATCGGACGACTATATCATATAGCTCCCATACAAATAATAAAAATATATAAAAGAACAATCAAATAATTAAGCTGCAAATCGTCATAGCTTCAATGTTTTTAAACATATACGCAAGTAAATCATAATTTTAATGTTTTCAAAAATATTTAATTCTTGCGATAGCTGCAAGGGTATATGAACTTCGGCTTGCCGAAGTTTGCTTTCTTTCTTGTTTTGGTAAATTTTATCCATTGTCTTAGCCACCCAGCTCCTAACATTTAAGACAAGATGTTAATCGGTCGGTTGTGGGCCTATCAGGCCGATTTCGCAACTGATGAGATCTCAATCGGTGGCAGGCATGTGTCCAACCTTCGGAAGTTTTCAATGGGCCATAAGTTATAAATCAGGGGCCCATATCTAGATATGCATCTATATTTTGTATACCATTTATGCATTTCGTAGGCGTGTGGCAGATATTATAGTAAGCGTGTTATAAGCTTACAGGCGAGGCGTTCGAGATAATACACAAAGAGTATACAAATAGAAAAGCGAGATAATGCGGATCATCGGAGGCCACAACTGGCACCACCAAAAATATAGCCCAGAAAAGTAGTGACAAATTGAAAACAAGGTTTAGCAGGCTCACAAAAGAAAATGTCAAGTTGAGGGCCTTTGACAACCGCGGGCACAGTGTGCCTTAATTATGACTAATTGCTCTGCGAACAGCCTCTACATTTGGAGCCATAACTCACGCTCGTTCGCGATGAATATTCAAAATTGCAACAAGCTTGCGAACCGAATTGGATAAACCAAAAAGGGGTAACAGAAAGCCCAGCTCGCGATTTGCATAAAGCCAGTGAATGGCAACTGGTTAAAAGCTGCAAAATGCTCTATGGAGTATGAGATCAGAGATCTAGCTGAATAATCTAGCAAATAATCTATACAAAAACCGTTGGATTCGTGAAAGAAATTATGATTTTGATTTATATTTAATGCTTTTATTCGTATCTCCCATTAAACCGAATTAAAAAAGTGATTTGTAGAAAATGTTCTTGCACAGTCAGTTTACTAAATCCTATCTCTATAAATTTCTTTTAATTTAATGCTGATAAAAAATTAAAAATTAGATGAAAATTTTTTTGGGAAAGATTTTTTACAATTTTAAGCCTTCTGAATATTGGATATATAAAGTGTTATAAAAGTAACACTAAAGTAAATAAGTGTTGGTATATAAAATGAATAAAAGAGCGTTAAAAAAAGAGTGGGCGACCGTATGTCCAAAAATCCTCTATCTGATGTAAGATGAACCGTGTCATAAAAGATGACCGAAGATCTCCCACCTTCATCCCGAACAAAAGACCTAAAGTAATTTTCTTCTTTTTGCAGACTCTTCAAAATCCATAAAAAACTGGCATAAAAGTATTTAAATGTGTTTATTGAATCTTAAGCAACAACACAGCCATAAATAATTCAGTGGAGACATAAAATAAAGATGAATAGAAATCAATTCGGGCTAGCTAAAGTCTGTCGTTTTTTTTTTGCTATAATTTTGTATGTCTTTTGAAATGAATGCCCGAAAATGGGGCTTGAATAGATCTGAACTTTATAGATGGAAAAATTCCCATGTTATGCATGAAAAAGAAATCTATTATCATAAATGTTCTTGAAGGGAAACAGAAACAGACGTCAGAAACAAGTTTTGACCTAAGTCAATTTTGCAGTCATAACAGATATAATCAAAGCCTATTATGTTTACCCTTTAGGAGGTCAGTTTGCTTTTTTTTCTTCGCTCTTCTTTGACGTCAATTAATAATTAACGCACAACACGTGTTTTGTAGTCATAATTAATAATTTTTGCTTTAGTTGAAAACCTTGTGATTAATAGCTTTCGAAGTTGTCATATGCATCAACTTATTATTTGAATTTGTAGCAAGAACTGATTTCAAACCTGTTTATTTTTATGTTCACAATAATTGTGTATTATAACACGGCTAAAATTTTATACTTTTGAAATATAGCTTTCAATTTGTAAGTTAATATATATTTGCAAGTTATAGATTCGTAATAGTATTTATCTGTGTTCAATTAATAAAAGAGAACACAACTTCTATTACATATTTTTTTCTTTAATCAAAATGTTTACAACTATATTTTTTGATCTAAAATATATAGTGATTGTGGTCAAAAGTTAAACAATTCATCCGTAAAACACATAAAATTTCCAAAGTTCAGTAAACTTTTAGGGATACAACCTATAGATCGTAAACAATGTGTGCATACTTTGATTATAATCCACAATAAACCCACTCATCATGTTTTTTTCAGGCTTTTATCGCTTTGTCCCGACTTTTTCATAATTTATGAAACAGATGTCTAGCCCTGGTGTATGCATAAAACATATATAAATATATATTTGTTTATCAATCACGGCTATAGATTGTCTCGTTTATGGTTATCAGTCAGTTTGGCGATTTGATTTGATTAGCATAAAGACAAACGTTTTGTCAGTCCGATCAGCCACGTTTATGGCCGCAAAAAAAATATATTACAATAATAAAAACACAGATGGAAAAATATGAAACAAAAAATGAATGATAATTTATAATGAACTTGTTGGTGCTCTAACTATTCAATATAGTCCCGAAATGGGGGCCATAAAGCCTTTGGGTTACTTGGCCCGCTGGTAGACATATCCGCCATTTGTTGCATAGACGGTATCCGCTGTGCTCTTGGGATCATCAGCCAATGTAGGAGGCTTCACCACTTCTTCGGGTTTTTGCTCCTTTTCCGGCTCATCGGAGTAGCCGGGCGGTGCAGGTCCTCCGAAACCGGGTCCAAATTGCTGATATGGATTCTGTCCGGGCACTGGTCCTCCGAATCCCATGGGTACATTGAATCCGCCCGGGTTGGCTGCTTGGAAGGGTCCTTGGGGATTGGTCAGAGGCAATCCCTGGTTAGTGAGGAATTCTGGGAAGGGTCCTCCTTGTGGTGGGAAGTTAGCTCCTGGTGGTGGGAAGCCATTTCCGGGACCTCCTTGTGGCGAAAAGGGTGGTCCTTGTGGTGGAAATGGTCCTGGCTGTGTTGAAAATGGAGCTCCTTGTGGTGGGAAACCAGGCCCTTGTGGTGGGAAACCAGCTCCCTGTGGTGGGAATCCGGCTCCCTGTGGTGGAAACCCTGCTCCCTGTGGTGGGAAACCTGCTCCCTGTGGTGGGAAACCAGCTCCCTGTGGTGGGAAACCAGCTCCCTGTGATGTGAAACCTGCACCCTGTGATGGGAAACCTGCTCCCTGTGATGGGAAACCTGCTCCCTGTGGTGAAAAACCGGGTCCCTGAGGAAATCCCCCTCCCTGAGCACCAAAAGGACCTCCAGCATTGGGAGGCAGCTGGAAAGCGGCATTCGGAGCTCCCCCCGGGAAGGGCCCTCCATTGGGATAGGCCGAGGGCACCGGACCGATTCCAGGACCCTGCCCCTCGCCAGGACCTCCGCCGAAGCCGAAGAAGGGCGGGTAGATGGGCAGGGGGAAGTTTGGCGGCTGGACGGGCGGTGGTGGAACGTTGCCGCCCGTGGGAATGGCGTAGCCCGGCGGCAGTGGTAATCCGGTGGAGGGATAGAACCCAGACGGATCCTTCTGGACCTCCGTCGCGTCATCAGATCCAGTGGGTGCATCCTGCTGTGCACTGGGCGGAATGTAGTCCTTATCCAGGTGTCTCACATCACCGCTAATTAGGGGTAGAAGCAGGACCAGAACGGCCAATGGCTGCTGCATCATCTCGTGGTGCGGATTTCGTTACTCTGGGAGCTTCCACGACGATGGAAACTATGTGGCCACGGGCCTCGAAGTCGGCACTTATAAGTCAGCATATTACATAAATCGCGGCACGGCTCATTTCACTTTCCCATTCGACGAACGGAAATTGCTTTGCATCATCATCACAAAGGTTCCATAAATAGTCGCGAATGGTCTGCTAACCAAAGGTGCGAGGGGAAGTGCCAAAATTGAACTATAAAAATTAATTTGTCGGCCGGATTTAACATAAATAAACCAACGCCGAAATCGAATGCCAAATTTAGCATATGGAAAAGAGACGATGAGAAGTGGCTCTATGAAAGAAAGAAAGAAAGAAAGGCAAAATAAAAGATAATAACATTTTTAACAACTTCGAAGCCAAATCAGTGTTGATAGGACCCAAAAACAGGTTTAAGCTTTCCAGTGTTGACAAGTTCATACTAAAGGAAAAGCTTTAAAGAGGGACTACTAAATTATAAGCTCAGTTTAATCAAAAAGCTTTTTAGAAACCCTTAAAATTAGCAGAAAAGCTTGCAAAAAAAGTCACATCTTCCAATCGAAGCTCTAAGCTGTTTAAAAAAAGCTCTATGGATTAATCAAAGCATTATGTTAAAATTTGTCAGCTCAATACTATTATATTAAAGATTTGTTAGTGTGTGTCTACAACTTGTACTCGCTGAATTAAAACATTATGAATAATCTGAATGCAAGACTGAAAACTATGAACACTCATAAATTAATTATAAATTTTATGTTCTGGTTTTAAATAGCCTAAAAACGTTGACACTTTGGGCGGTGATGTCAAAACTCTGAACTTATGTCACTTGTTTAGAAGTTCTTTAGTTCGATCATAATGTTTATGCATATCTTTGAAAACTATATATTCAAGTTTAATTCCGATATTTGCATTTATGCAAGAGTTTCCTTTTCCTATTTTTGGGTTTTAGGACAAAGGTTTTGTAAATGGCAAATAAACCAGTTGTCTATTTAAATTATTCAAACCACTTACTTCTGACGTCCGATTACTGAACTATTAACATCAATTAATTTGCATTTTCTTTGTTTTTTGTGTCTTTTGGATTCGTCTTCAAAGTTTTGGGATCGGCAATAAAAATTAATATAATTTCAGGTTTTGTAATTAAAAAATTGGTATTTGTTAAGCGCTGTTAACTTGATTATATAAGTTAATACAATAAAATCTTGTTTTCACCAGCTGAATTTTGTTAATTGTGTAAATTTGCTTAATATTCTTTTTCTATTCTTAGTTCTTAGAAGTCTGTAGATGAAATTGTGTGGTTATCAATCAGATGGAGATATTATGTGGATCATTCCTTTATTCTCATGCATACTTTTGAACCAAAACTATATATTTTCTTTTCCGAATATTTATATTTGTATAAAAAAAAACTTAAAAATCAAGGAATTATGAACGTATGTTCATAATTCTAAAATAAACTAATATTAATGTCTAGGAATAATCGTATTAAATGATTTTTTTGGGTGATATTTAATTAAAAAATTAAGATGTTGGTAAACAAAATTGGGTTTAATTTAAAAACAACATGCTATTAAAAAATGATTTATCAAAATAATTGGGCTTCCTAAAATAGGGATCTTAAGGCCACTTTCCTCATTTTATTATGTATTTTATTCTAAGTTAATTTAAATGTAATACGGATTTATTTAAGACCAAGCATTTAGGGCAGAGCTTTTTTTAATCTAAAATTATTGTTAGTATTTGTTTAGTTTAAGGGGCTCCCCCTGGATGGCAAACCACAGTAAAAATACATTTTTAATTCGTGTTATTGGATTCTTTTTACTTTCGGTTGTTAACAAAGTTTACAATACAATAGAAAAAAAAATAAGATGGTGAATTTGGGGCAGAGTATGTATGTATGTATTTACACTGTTTCGACGGATTCAGTTGCAGACCTCCTTCCTGAGCTCCTTACTTCCTGTAGACATAGCCACCGTTGGAGGCGTACTGGGTGCCCACATCCACGGAGGGAGCAGAGTAGCTCTGGACAGGGGCGGAGTAGCTCACCGAGGGGGCAGAGTATGACTGCTGGACGGCAGGAGCGGAGTAGCTCACCGAGGGGGCGGAGTAGCTCACCGATGGGGCGGCATAGGTCTGCTGGACAGCAGGAGCGGAGTAGCTGACGGCGGGAGCGGCGTACGACTGCTGGACAGCAGGGGCGGAGTAGCTCACCGAGGGGGCAGAGTAGCTAACCGAGGGGGCAGAGTAGCTGACCGATGGAGCAGGGGCGGAGTAGCTCACGGAGGGGGCAGAGTAGGTCCTCTGGACGACCGGGGCGGAGTAGGTCCTCTGGACGACAGGAGCGGAGTAGGTCTGCACGGGGGGCAGGTACTCGTTGCTGGGGGCGACATAGCTCTGCTGGACAGCAGGGGCGGAATACGTCTGCTGGACAGCAGGGGCGGAGTAGCTCACCGAGGGGGCGGCGTACGACTGCTGGACGGGCGGCAAGTACTCGTTGCTCAGGTGGCTCACATCGGCGGCCGCGCAGGCGAACAGGGCGAACACAATGTAGAATTTCTGCAAGTAGGATAACCAAAAACACTTCACGTTAACACATTGCAAAAACACCATAAAAAATAATAAAAAAAAATATTTTTGCTTATTTTGAAATTATTTTGGTACAGCTGGTAATCCTTTACTGACCATTTTGAGGGTCTGTGGGTTTTTGACTTTGGAAGCGACTGTGCTGGATGAGCTAGAGGCTGCGACTGATGCCGGTCCCTAGAGCGGGCTTTTAATTTATAGCGGCCGGCCGGTCCGAAGAAAAGCCCCGGTTTGAAGCGGAGCGGGCTTCAACTGCAGCGTCAACCGCCGAAGAAGAAGAAGACCAACGGCCAGCAGACCAACAAGAAGCGGCGGCAGAAGTCGTCATCCATAAATTCAGCACATACAGCCAGAGGTGCCTTAAGTTCAGAGCCAATTTCACAGCTAGATTTTCGCAAAACTTATTGTCAAAAACAAATTAATTAGAAAAAAAATAGGAAATTGTTTAAAAATTATTAAATACTTTACAACAAAATTTGATGTGCTATTAATGCATTCAAGTCTCTTACAGTTATAGCAAAAATGAATTTGTCTCTACATAATCCTATTGCAACTTTAAATTACTAATTTAACCCAAAAAATGACAGATTTTAATATATCATATACGTTTGCATTGTTTAAATTTATAATTTAACATTATAATTGTATAATTTTTTCCCACAATTACCTAAAATTCATAAAACTTCGATGTCTTATTGATTATAGTCAGATTTGAAAAAATATAAGTAAGTAATGATGGTTAAATGTAGAGGCATTGACTCTGAAATATGAAATAAACAAAAACATTTTAGATATTATTTGCAAAGTCAATTATTTAACTGCTGTTTACAACTTCTCACACTATGTATATATGAAACAATTATTTTAACTAGCTACTCATTTTGAATTGGCAAACAATAATAAATTATAATTTAATAGCCCTTACACCTACATTGTTATATAGCTTATATAGCAATAAATTGGCTAATTTGGCAGCACTAATCAGGGCGGGGGGCATACAAATATAAGGCAAAACTACCAAACGGAAAATCACATAAAAATTAAATTTAACATAAAACGAACGAAATCGCACATGCAAACGGGTTTGCCTCATTTACAATATTTTATTTTTTTCATTGACGCAACGGGTTTTTGGTGGGTGAACTACTTTGGGACACATCTTTTGCGGTGTCTTCCATTAGGCTTATTAGCGGGGTGTTCCGGGGGGTTTGTCTGGGATCGGCAGACCAAAAACTGAAGACCCTCCACTAATTAACATTCAATTTAACACATTAAAAGCGCCACGCAAGCTTTTCTCGTTTTAGCCACTTTTCGGTGGTTAACCGCAGAAATGGTACGACTCCAGAAGGAGAGCCATTTGCAGATCTGGCCTCGTCAGAGACACTCGGCTAGATTGATGGCCCCCAGAATGTCGTGTTCGGAAACAGATCCACTCGCACTTTCTAAAAAGCCATAAACACAAAAAGCCCATCAGAAAAGCCGGCAGAAGACGGCCTTGAGAACAGCCGCCGCAGAGTTACGAGTTCCCGAGCTGGCTTTACATAATAAGTAACAACTTTTACTCGCATCCACATCTTGTGGCTGCCCAGTGCCCATGAACTTGAAATGCAGCGAGCAATAACGCCAATGCACAGCAAAAAAATTGATTATTTCGACAATCAATCTTTAGTTTTGATGTAATAGTTTATTACGATAAAATTAGATTATAATTGGAAAAACAAAAATAAATTTAAAAAAAAGGCTTTTACATTTCTAAAAGCAGATAAACAAATTGGCAATCTTAAAAAAATCATTCAGTTTGTTTTGATTTGAAATTGTTTATTTAATGTTTTTATATTTAAATAACAAACAATACTAAGTGTATATAAAAAAGTAACATTTGCTTAAATAGCCACAAGCTTAATATAGTAAATAGCTAAAATCAACGATTCTCTAAGCACCGTTCCTTCAACAATTGAAAAAAGTTAATAACTAATCAAGTCTTGAATTTGAATTGCGAGAAAGTGTGTTTAACACTAATTCTAAGTAAAGGGTGAAATATATAATGAATAGTTTAAATTAATTTGTATCTTGATTTCAGAAGCTGGTTCATCTCTCAGCGTAGAAATAAATTAAGGTTGGAACACCAAGCATGACGACAAGTTGATGCAAGTCAGGGTTCATAAACTGGAGTTGGAGAAACTTAAATTAAACATGAGTATTCCGAGAACTATAATTAGGCAACAGTGAACGGAAATTGCTGATCCCCAAAACTGGTATTTCAAAACAGTTATAAGAAAAATACCTATGTGTATGTGTAATCGTTGCCGTTTCTGAAACTTTAAAATAAGAATACACAAACAACGTTTATCTCTCCCGCTTTGCTTAGTTCAGTTCAAAATCAATAAATACATTGATAAAAATTGTTAGAATTGCAAAACTATTACCTATTAGATTTCTTAATCGATAAGCCAAATTTCTGACTGTTTTCAGTCACTGATAATTTAAATGAAAATACGTACCACATTTTATAAAAATATTTTGTAAATTTATTAGACTCTGGGGTTTTTAATAACTTAACTTAGTAAACATAACCGCCATTGGAGGCGTACTGGGTCTCCTGGCCAGCGTTCGAGTAGGTTGCCTGTAAATGGGCGGGAGTGATTGTGTCGCCACCGATGGCCGCCGGAACATGGTTCTCGGGATTGAACTCTTCGATTCCATTCGAAGCGGGCTCCTCGTATAGATGGGCAGGTGTGATAGTGTTGGCTCCAATTGCGATGGAGGCCTGTCCCTGGACATAGGCAGGGATCAGGTCGACGGGTTGGTAGCTACTGACATCCGAACCAGGAACGACGGCCTTGGTGTGGCTATGAATGTAACTGGACTGCTGATAGGAGCTGGAATCTCCTCCAGGAACAACAGCGGGCTGATAAGAGCTGGAATCTCCTCCGGGCACCACAGTTTGTTGTTGCTGAATATACCTGTAGTGAGCCTCACGATCGGCCTGCGGAATAAACTTCTCTGGAGTGTAAGTATCAGCGCCAATAGCAGCAGGAACTGGTGCATACGTATCAGCTCCAATAGCCGCTGGCACAGAAACTACTTCAGAAGCATCAGCTCCAGAAGAAGCTTGCTTAAGATAAGCGGGAGTATATTCAGCGGGTTGGTAAGAGCTCGAATCGCCACCAGGAACAACCTCAGCAGCAACCGCTCCGGAAGAAGCCTGTTTCAGATAAGCGGGAGTATATTCATCCGGCTGGTAAGAGCTTGAATCGCCACCAGGAACAATCTCAGCGGACTTCAAGTGCTCGGGAGTGTATTCAGCGGGTTGGTAAGAGCTCGAATCGCCACCAGGAACAACATCAGCGGACTTCAAGTGCTCGGGAGTGTATTCAGCGGGTTGGTAAGAGCTCGAATCGCCACCAGGAACAACCTGAGCATCAACAGCTCCAGAAGAAGCCTGCTTAAGATAAGCGGGAGTGTGTTCAGCTGGCTGGTAAGAGCTAGAATCGCCACCAGGAACCACTTCAGCTGCAACAGCCCCAGTGGAGGCCTGTGTTAGATGAGCGGAAGTGTATTCAGAAGGCTGGTAGGAGCTAGAGTCACCGCCTGGCACGACTGCTGAAGATGAGGAGGACGACGAGTAAGAGGCGGAGAATCCATAGCCTCCATCAGCTGACAGCCCCAACTTCAGGTGACTGACATCTGCGGCAACCAGGCCGATAAGGGCCAAAGCGATGACGTAGAACTTCTGCAAGAGACGAATAAAAAAAATGGGGATAAGAAAGTGTGTTGGGAAGCGGCAATAATATCCGCGGTGATTCCCCCTAGAACCGAAACTCACCATGTTTGGACCGTATCTGTTGATCTGAGGAGGGGCGTTTTAGGTTTTTATACCCACAAAAGATTATGGGCCTATGCTAATTGGAGTTTTGTTTTGATCTTCGCTTGATTTGGCTCCTCAAAAATTATTGTCTACCATCTGCCAGTATTTTCTTTTTTTGTTTTTTTTTCGAGTTGCAAATTTGCATAGGTAACATAACAAAGCCGGCGATCTTATCAACTTGATTAGAACCTCTCCGGGTCCGAACGCCTTGGCCTTTCCGTCAATTAAACTATCGTCTGGCTTATATACAGAGAGAAAATTTGTCATACATTTGTTTTATTTTGATAGATCCTATTGGAGTGGGGTAAAACCGACCACCATATAATAGCAACCTTAAATGTTCTATAAAATCCAAAATCTGTCCGTTTAATGTTGTATATATAATATGAAATTAATGTAAAAGCGATGTCTAAAATAAAAATAGCCACTTTTCTCAATGATTTAAAATTTTGTATTAATTATTATTATTAGCTTGTTTAATTTTAAAGTCTTTATGGGATTAAGTATTTCTTTTTGTTCCGTGTCCGACTTCATCCTTCCGATAGTTTGCTAAGTGGAGTTACTGATTAGCGCCTGACAAGTTCAGCCGGGTGTCATAATCAGCTTGGTTCGGTAACCAGTTCTCAGTCTTTTGGCCAAGAGTCTAAGATCTGCCAATGAGTCTGCTAATTGGGTTGGGGAAATCAATCGATAGGTGCTTAAACACGCATCGAAGTTGCTGATCAGATTAATTCGTTTTGGTTTTTGTATGGCACAAGAATAGACTCGTTGTATACCCCGCAAAAGTTAATTAATAAAGCCAAAAAGGCATCGTTGATTTTAATTTTAAGTGATTCAGTGTGCAGACTGAGAAATATCCAGTTTTGGATTAGTTTCGCCAATTTTGGCAACCATGGTGAATGCATTATGAAAATAACCTTTATATAAAGTTTCAGCTTACACTTTATGGATGAATTTATACGCTCGACTGATTTTATGGTTAACATTTGGTGAAATTAGCTTAACTTAATAAATTTTACTGATTTTCATAATGAACGTTGAAGAGGAGCTGGTTCAAAATCGAATCATTAAAAATGGTGTAAGAGTAGGGTATAATTTTGATTATATATTATATTAACCGCAAAAAGAGGTATATAATGAAGTTGGTTCATATGTTCTCAGCCAAAAACCTAGCATAATTAACGAACGTTGAACTGGGGAAAATGATCGAAACTTGTTTATGCCAAATCGGATTTTTGTTTATTGATTTGTTTTGTCAAATATATGAAAATAGATGGTCCGTCGTCAATGGAGCTTATATCTTAATTGTATGAGAAATGACTAAATAAAAATGTATTCAATAATTGATGGAGTTTTAAGGTAGAGCTATTAATGACAATAAGTAAATTCATAAAAAATGATCAAAGACTAAATAAACAAATATTTTAAATTACTGTTGTGGATATCTTAAGGTTATTTTATATAATTGTAATCTATTTGCACCATTTCAGTGTCAAGGATATGTAAATTGAATTACTTCATAACACAAATTTGCATTCCTATGTTAATAAGTGAATAGCTTTTAAAATTGTTTATGTTTATATGTGCATCTATATATACAAGATTTATGAAAAAATATTTAAAAATATATATGACAAACATAAATATATATATACTTCATTTGTTTTTTAATAAATTTACAAATTTATTTATTTGAGTTTATTAATGTTTTGTCTAGATTATGCCTACAAAACTTGAAAATGTTTACCAATTTATGCAGATAGAATATTTTGATTGGTTTTGTGATAAAAATATGATTGCCCATAAAATTCTTTCATTATTTTTTATTTGAAAGCTTAAATTAATAACAACTGAGCAGAAATACTGTGTTTCCATATTATAATATTATCCATTTGTCTTTTTATTCTTACAAATTTATTCAGTTAATTATGTGCATTAATGTTTTGATCAGTCCTATTTTTACAGACTCCCGGTGACGTCAAGCTATTGACTGTATAAAATCTGGAATTATATCTTTAGAGCATGCAAAGTTTCAGATGCGGCCAGCTTTTTTTTTCAGCCATGTCTAGTGTGAATCACTCGGATTGGCGGAGATTCTTTGACGATTCGGTTTCGGGCATCCAAACTCGTTTTGGAACATTAACTTTAGGCCCGAAAACATTCAGACTTCATGTCTTGCCATGTCTGGAATACAGTTTTTGTTTTGACCTCCCTTTCATTTAATTATGAATATTTATGCTTTGAGTGGTGTAATTAAAAGACAAGAACACAATAAAATATAAGCCTTAAATATATTTATGGCCTTTATGTAAAACAAATGTCAGAGTCTGTCCAAAAATCAGGTTGAGCTACAAAAGATTTATAATTATGGTTAAATCTTAAATGTATGTTTATATATATATTTGTTTTCGTTCTTTCTCTTTGACTGCCAAACAATAGATCAAGTTTGAACAAGTTGTATATACATTTATTGATATTGATTATGCATTTAAGAGTCAAACTTGTTGGTGACTTAACAGAGGTGTGGATCTCAGATGGGAGCTTAGCCCTCAATTATTTTCGCCAGCTCTTGGACATGCACAGAGAGAAAAAACATCTGCCGACACTCTTTCTCACATATATAGTATGAATTATGAAATTATTAATAGGGACTTTGACTTTACAATTATTATTTTAAAGAGTTTTTTTAATGATTAAAGAGTGTATAATATTATTGTCTGCTTAAGAGCATTTTATTTGTTTATTAAACCTCCTGAATTTAGTTCTAGTTTTGCCATTTTGTGATTTTTTTTTGTATTCCTTATATAATTTCATATTTTTTTTAAAGATATTACACCATTTGTTTTGTGTATATCATAACGAATAGGTCTTAAAAAGGGGATTTGATAACTAGAGAGACATATTTAAGTGTATACTTTTTTCTAGGATTCTTTAAAAATATATTTAATCTTTGACCCGCTTTGGCTCATCATTTTTGTCAGTACAAAAAACTTAATCTTTAGGCTTCCACTCTGATATAGTTGGTTGTTCTCTGGTAGCCCCCGGTGCTTTTCAAATATTTGTGCAGCTCGCATGTTTGAGGATGGCAAATGTTTGTCGGGGGTCTCGGCCCACGGCAGCGGCCATAAAAAATTGCGGAACCGGCGGTGACAAACGCGGCATATTGTTTGGCCCCACAGCAACAACAACAATAAGAACACCAACAACAGACCCCTTTTACACCTGAAAACCCCCTTTGGGGGTACATATGCATGCATGTTAGACACACTTGTTAGCCAGGTATTTTGGCCACGTCTTGAGTTCGAGTCGCCGGCGATCGTTATGAGAAAAACGACGCTTAAATAAGACAAGCACGGTGAGCTCTTAAATAACGTTTGCCAAATTGCATTTCTGTTTAACATTTTGCAAAGCCCCACAAAACGATGTTTGCATGTTGCAGATGCTGCTCTTGGGCAATTCCCGAGCGATGGAGATCTTAAGGTTAGGTTATGAGTCTTAATATGAAAGCTGGTCAGTAATTCATAAGGTGGCATTGTCCATTTAAAAGTAAAAGCCCCATTAATCTGATAAGCCGTTTTTTTTTTGGCACAAATGATGTTAATTAAATAATTAAAGTTTGTCAGCACTTCAGTGTGAAAAATGTTTATTCTTTGAATATATTTTGCTTGTCGGTGTACTTTGGAAATTTTTAAAGAGGGTTTGCACTCTGTTTACGCAGTAAAATCTTTCACAAACAGTTTTAGTTTAGACATGTTTTTAATTATAGTCCATTTTAATATTAAGCTTAATTCATTTCACATTTTTGATAACTATTAATTTTGATATAGGACTAAAGGAGTGTTATGTCAGTAAAACATTTGCTAAATAATGGTTATGTCTTATGATATTGGTTTTAAATGGTAGCACTAATATATATAGTTATACATATTTCAAGTAATAACAGTGCCTGTACATAAGCATTCATATTTCCACCACTGAACTCAAGCTAGCCGACTATTTGCCAAATTCTAGCACCAGCTGCGGCACAGCAAATATGTGTTCAGATCTCAATGCTAGATCAGCATGAATGTAAAACGCATTGGCTTGGGGTTATTTGTTCCGTAAATTCCCAGAGACTTGCCGTAAAGCAAACAGTTTCACGGCTTAATACGCCAGGTAAATAGACTGAGAAGCGCGTAGAACGGCGCTCCGAATTGGTTGACCGCCTTTTGTGCACCTGCAAAGCCGTGGAAAATGCGCTGAAGCACACAAAATCAAAATATGAAAAATCAGTCACCGTTTGGCTGATGTTTTTTTTTTATTTGTATTTTGTGGGATGCCACTTAATTGATTGACCAAATATCGCGGGGACTTTTCCATCTACTGCGTTAATTCGTCAAAAACGACGACGATCAATCGATGCGAAGGTTTCGGGTACTTGTTTGATTACTCGGCAGAAAAAGAGGTTGGCTAAATTCGGATAGCAGACCCTGACCTTCTCGTCTCGCTAAGTGCGAAACGTGTCAGAGTCCAAGACGAAATGGAATTAAATTTAATCATTGTTTTACGGCCATAATCCGCGAAAGTGAAGGGCAATCGAAGGAAGTCGTCTGCTGAGATCAGACAGTTCGGAGGTGTTGGTAGCAGAGCTTTACGACCAAGACACGTTAATTAAAAGTGTATTGAAAGCGAAATTAGCCTACAATTGTTGTGTGGTTTGAGCAAAGAAACTTCTTTCTTGCAGAAGATCTATTTGATTTGCCCGCATAATAAAGCCATCATCGTCGTGACATCTTCCATAAACTACGGTGGGGTTGCAAACTGGACCCAAAAAACTAGTTTAAGCATCGTCATGGGGCTGAAAACCACTTTTGCGATCGCGTAATTCGCTCGCAATTACAAAATCAAGTTTACCCGACACTTGAGCATCTCGAGATCGATGCCAGATCCCCTCTGATTGGCATAATTAGTGGCATTTCAGCTGTCATCGCCGATTGTGCCGCAAAATGTCATTCAATTTGTCAAATGATTTTACGATCGCACCGGCGGAATCTGCGCAATTGGGTGAGACCAATGGGGAAATGATTGCCAGCTATGTGAGACCAAAGCAAAACGCCTTTAAAGGCTAATTCTGTTTGTGGTTCTTTATAAATTCACTCTACGTTATGTAAATACCAAATGGGATTATTGATTTTTGCGGGGATTTTTGGCTGCTTGTTTTTTCATAAAACAACAAAGCTCCTATAAGCTAGGTGCTCAACTCTGCATAATGCCATTGAACTATAAAATAAGTCAAGACTGGTTAAAATTATATTCCTTATATTTTTTTCTATTTAATAAATATTTTATAATATGTTTTATGATTTTACTTCTTCCAATTTTTATATTATAAGAAAAAAATTCTTCTGCCTTACTTACCCATCTATCTCATTCAAATCAACACAGTTGTATTATACACGCAGAAAAATGGTTAGAAAGAGCATCCAATTTTTATTGGGTGAGAAAAAATTGGATGTTGTACCTATTTAAAATGAAAGATCAAATAACGGTGATGGTTATTTTAGCAATTTAAAAATGATACCTCCGATTGGTTTTTATATGCTTTGAATTGGATAAGACTGCCAACTTTGTTGGAAATGATGACTTATACTGGAATTCGAATTTCGATTAGTCAACTTTTTTGAAAGGCAGAAAAGAACTCGATTAATCTTAGTTGAAAATCGAATTCGACTGACTTTATTCAATCCTCGAAAATTCTGTTGAATTTATAGGTTAAGAGTTAAATTTTTATGAAAATAAATTTTTTCAATTCGAGAAAATTCATCATCAATACTTAAATTTACCAAAATAATATCACAAAAGTACATACAAACGATTATTTAACACGTATACGTGAAAATAAAAACAAACGGCAATTAATCATTCAAATAAAGTGTTCAATTTTTGTCAATTTTTAAGCCTACAAAAATCGATAACATCGATTATTTTACAATAATCGACAATCAACTCTCGACTATCATTGGCTTTGCATTTTTCATCCCTACTCTTTTCTGTTCTTTTCGGCTGCTCGCCACGCTCGCTTCGCTCGTTCCGGTATTGGGCGTTTTTTTGTGTTTAGTTCCTAGAAAATTCTACAAAAAGAGATGGATGAAAAAAGTTTGGAGTTTTTGGAAAATGTGGATCCCGAGAACGCAGAATTTTATATTGTTCTTTTTAAAGGTAAGTTCTCTCATGCTCATTAATTGATGCCTGAATTTATAAATCAACAATTTTCTAATAAATATTTTGTTTTCTAGGCAACGTTCTACGTACCAAGGCAGCCGAAAACTAATTTGGAAGGCGCGAAGCAGCCCAGGGGTAAATTATATGATAAATATACCTGTATAATAAAAGATTTGCGTGCTTCAGGATTACGGTCGAAAGAGTCCGAACAGGTATGTCATGAGAAATGTCCCTTTCCATTTCTATAAAGTTTCTTTTTTAACTTTTTTGTCTTAACAGCCAACAACTGTTCATGACGATGGAGTAAAGAGAGATGAACAGGGTGAAGTGAAGGAAGACCTGGAGTGGTTAAGACGATGCCTCGAACCCGAGGTTGAGGCTACTGAGCGGTGGAGTAGGACTTCTGATTATCGCCTCCATTCCTTAAGAGTTACTCCTACTAGAAAAAAGGCTATTTGTCGTCAAATGCATTCAATTACAATTTATTTGAAAATAAAGAACTTATTGAAAATTTTTTTAAGCAATTAAAATAGATATAATATCACTGGTAGATGGTTTTATGAACCAACTAAATAGCAACCATATACAAAAAAGTTGGATCAAGCAAACAAGCGCTTGTTTTGTCGAACTCTCTCAGTTGGTGAATATATCCAATTCCTGTGGATCCAAGAAAACTAGATAATCCAACCAACAAATTGGATCGCTCCCCAGCACCTATTTAAAATAGTTGTATTATCCAATTCACAGGTGTATATTTCCAACTATTTTTCTGCGTGTATTAATAATCCACCAACTCCACATAAAAGAGCATTTACTCTTTGATGAAGCAAATATGCTGTTGTTTCTCTATTTTTTTCCGACATTGTGTTCACACAGTTGAAAATTGGACAAGTATTTATTGTTATGATTTATGAAAGCGGCTTAGTCTTTGTTAGTCATTCGTTTTCAACGGGGAATCCCATTGAGGTAACCTCTATATACGCTGGTGTTCTACTGCCATCAGCTATTAGCATAATTTTGTTTTAATTATGTAATTTTTGGATAACACACGATGGTAATTTGTTTTCTGAAAAAAAAATCGTGGAAAGCCGCTGTAGCTAATGTCTTATTAATTTTTGAATGATTAATTTTTGTGATTTGATGACAAAATTGGATATGGATGTAGAGCAAACCCATTATGAAGGCATACTGTTGTGCATACTCAGTAGAAAACGAACCTTATAGTTTATTTAACTGAATATTCAATTTGTATTTATAAGACAGAAATTTGATAAGTTAAAACTACTTCTTATTTTTAAAGAGATAATTTTAGAAAAGTTATTGATTTCTTAACTTATGACCAATAATATATTTTGATGTAAAGTAAACAATATTTAAAAAGCTAAGTTTAACAATTGCTAAATCAAATATGTAAACAGATTATTATTATTCTTTAAAACCATATTTTTTGATAGAAACTTGAATGTATATTTAAAAGCTGCTAGCGGTTGTACTTGGTATAAAACAAACCACCCAAAAACCGGTTTCGATTTAGTAAGCAGCCCATAAGTAGGTACACTTTATTTTTTTAGCTAATTGGCGAATGCAGCCTAAAAGTAGGCGTATTAATTATTAAGACTTGTCTTGGGGCACTAAGATAAATGGCTTATCCCTGTGCCGAGATCTTAAAAATACCCCTTCTTTCAATTAAGCCAAGTGGCTGAGGTAGTAAAACAAAAATATGGTTGCCTACTTGTAGGCAGACCCATTAAAAATTAAGCAAATATCAAAGCAACAAAAAGAGGGGGGATAGTGCGGTTGTGGGCGATGCCCTGAGTAAAAGGACACTAAAATATTACGTGCACATGTTACATCGCAACTCGTCTTTGCCCATCTCATCTCCGATGAACTCAACTCATCTCGTCTGGAGACAAGACAAGCCCTAAGATGATGATGACTTCAACGGCGACAGGCACAAATAAAAAATCAACTTGGCAAAAGCCTCAAGCCCAAAGCAATCAAGCGAAATGAGGTGCAGTTGCCACGCCTCCAGTCCGATGCGCCTTTCTTTTCCGGGGAAAGCCGAAAATAATCACAAGGCGACAAAATGTTGCATATAATGCGGCTGCTTAGGAAGGACCATAAATAAAAGCCTCAGGCAACAGGACCAGGATGGCAGGACCGAAAAACAGTGCTGCCATAATTGGGGATAGAGAAATAAAATAAATAAATTAATATTATATTTATATATTTTCAATATTAACAGGACAAATTTTAGAAACACAAAAATGTATTTTTAATTCATAAATGAATTATACAACTAACATAGACTTAACTTGTTTTTTATAAAAAAAAATTTATAAAAATAAGTTAAGTCAATTAAAAGTCTTTACAATTGTAATAAAATCTCTTAAAAATATGATTGTATTGTAAGTAAATTTCAGCAAACATAAAAAAAATGAGAGAATAAAATTAGAGCATTGGAAAACAAAAAAAAAAAATTTTAAAAGTTATAAAACATCCAGATATGACATCTCTGAATCGGGCAAAGGACGAAGCAAGGATCAGCACACTGACTGACTGATGGATGGATGGATGGTTCGTGTTAATTATTTTGCTAAAATAATGCAAGAACAGCAACGAAAAATTTGACAAAATTTGATGCGCTCACATCGCCTACACCCCCATATTTTCCCCGAAAAATAGAAAAGCAAAACACTGAAATGAAAAATCGCAATTTCCTGGGCCCTGATAACCGCCGGCTACGAAAATTTTCTATATAGGAATATAAACAACAATAAAGAGCGGACGACAGCGACGGCTTAATGAGTGACGGGCGGTCATATTAGATGAGATGCGATGTGTTGGTGTCCCTGTGTGTGTGTGTGTAAATAAGTGTGTGTGTGTGTGTGCCCCTGTTAGTGTCACTACAGCAGTGTGTGGGTGTTGGTGAGTTATGGCACATTAAGCTCAGCTGCGACCACACTGAGATAATTATATAATAATAAATTGTTTTCACAAAAAATAAATATTTTAAAAACAATTTTTTATTACCAAGTTTTTATATTTTTTTAAACCTATGATTTTTGAAAAATTGGTCCGTATATATAATAAGAGTGACTGTTTTGTGCAGCTGTCACCCTATACTTATACTATGAATACATGACCAGTATATATTGATTGACATGTGAAAAAGTTATTTTAATCCAGCACATCCAATAGTGACATTTCTCTCACTGCATATGTGTGTGTGAAGGCTATATCTTCCTTTTTCGGGTGGATATCTGAACTCTTCTCGCATTCTTGGCCATTTGCATTATTCATGTGCTTGGGAGAGAGTTCTGAGGGGTGTGGTGTGGGTGGTGATGTGATGTGATGGGAAGGAGTGGAGAAAGTCGCGGTAGTTTTATTTTAAAGCCCAAGCGTTCATAAAAACCAAGCCCCAGACAAGTGCAGTTCGCTGTCGTGGGAGGTTCTGTGAAGGGGAACATAACTATATACCCTTTAATCAAGCTATAGTCAGATGATATCGTTGGAGTGCATTGAGAGATACGTGGTCCTTATAAGAAATGCGAAATATTTTTCTAATTATTATTATAATTATTATTAGTTTTATTACCTTAATTTTGTTAAGCCATAAGTCTTTAAATCGCAAGGTTTTCACCATGCTGGTTTGGAATTATTTATTTGCGGAATTTTTATGAGTGTGTGGAAAAAGTAAAACCTTAAGGCTTAAACTTAAAGATTCCTCATTCCCAAGAGCGTGTTCGTTTAAATCCACATCAAATCTTAAGTTTAGAATTCTATTATTTTATTAAATTTTACAGGGAGACAAAATTGCATGTCTATTTTAACTTTTAAAGAAATTCCAAAATCTGAAAAGTAAAATTCATTATTAATTTAAGAAGTAGGATATTTATATATAAATAAAATTAAACTAAGCAACAATGTAGTCGTATGTTGTAGAAGTCGTAAATGTATAGTTGGCAAGGAGCCAAGCTTTTGAGCCATTTTCAATATTATTGGATTATTGTTTGAGAGCTTTTGTTTTGAGATGTGTTAATATAGAGTATTTCCGTGGTCATGGAGAATTTTTCGGGGAAAAGCCTCCCATCTCTTTTAAGTTCGCTTGGCTGAACGCTTTTGATGGCTTTTTTGGGGTACGTCATTCGTTGTTCGTCCATGAGACCGCGAGTCCATGGTGTGTTGATGCTGATGACAGCACCAGAATCCGACGGGATGAGGAGCCAGAAGGCTGAGGAGACCACGTCGACCTCATGATGAAGTTGTCGTTCATCGTTCTTCGTTCATCGTTCATCGGGGGCCTGCTCGTTAAGTTGCCTTCAAGTCAAGTTGTTTGACAATCTTCGCAGAAAGATTCGCGGGCAAAAGCAGGGGAAAAAAGTGTTATAAATTGCATTTAGTGTCGGGCCACGTCATTGCTGATTTGTTACGGCTGCCACGGTTAACTAAACTGGGGGGGAGGTGGGGGTAAGTCCCCTCCCCCCGAAAGGTCAAAACTCCAGGACTTTAACAATGGCTTCTGTCCGCACTCCGGTAGACCAGATACCAGATTTTCGATTTCAGAACCCACATCTCAGTGTGCTTCCCCTGTGCCAGCGCATATGCAAATTTGCGCTGGCAATGATGCGTTCTGGAATTCCGAATTGTTTACAAATTTCCAACAAAATGCTAGCGGGAGGAGCCTAGATATGCTAAAATAAAACTTCAAGTCATAAACTAAAGACTTTGTTTACAAATTAAATGCAGCATGCAACAAGCGACATCTTCATCGTGGCCTAGGAGGAAACCCATGGCAATATCCATATCCTCGCCTATCCAGATATGCGACTCCAGATAGAGGCCTTTGCTTTTGCTTATGAATTCGTTGGCCAGAGGTCTGCCTGGATCCCCTCCACCCTCCCCTCTGTTTATTCCCGATCCCTCCTGGCGCTTGGGTGTGATGTGTCCGTTGCACTGTCCTCCAGTCTGTCCGTCCGTACAGTGAGAAAAAAATATCCCGGGAAGTATAACAAAGTTTGAGGTGTTTTTCATATTTAAATTAAATGTACATTTAAGTGAGAAAAAGACCTCAAAAAATGGGTTGACGACTTTTGAGAAATGAAATGATGAAATAAAATTGATTTGGCTTATCGTTAATGGTAGTTGTTCATTATAATTAAATTGGTTTTTTTTTAAACATGCGTCACAGATAGTATGCAAAAATTGTTATGTACATAATTTGTGTGCAATAATACCAGTATAATTTGTTTGCCTATAAATTTGGTATTAATATATTTTGTTATTATATTTTATGACAAAAAGAAATTCAGAAGAGATTTAAATATAGATTTGTAAGATCATGAAAACATCATATAAAAATATATAACATCTCATTGCACTTCATTTGAGTATTTTTTTCCCCCTGTATATGTCGGTTTGTCCATTTTGTCCGCCGGCTCGTACTTTATGCCCACCGTATGCAAAGCAGCCCGAAGCCCAGCTACATGTGTTTTACATGAATTTTAAATGATATGTTAAATAAAAATGCGCAGCTAAACAGCCCAAGGCACCGCTTCACAGTGAAGACAACGAAAACGGACACGGGAATGGGATTGGGATTGGGATCGGGAATGGGAATGGGAGAAGCAACCACTGCAGCCACAGTGACTGCAAGGAGTGCGTGGACAGCTCACAAGGCACACGCAGACATAAAAACAGTGGTCGCGAATTTGAGATCCCGCAAATACTTGATTTACTTCACTCCACACTAGATGGCGTGTTATCAAAGTTTATTGTCCAATTAAATAATGCTGAAAACTATTATAAAAAGAAAGCGTTGATGAGAAAATATTTTTAACAAGTCTGAGACAATGGAAAAACATAAACAATAGATGGGCCAAAAAAAATTCGCTTGCAATACGGTATATTTAGTAAGACTATATGGACTTTTTTGCAATTAATTTAAATTTTTTAACATATCGCATATATGTATGCTATTTGCATTTGACTGTTTACTATTTTAATATATGGCAATTTAAATCAAATTTGAAAGTAGACTTAATTAAATTATCGATTCAAAAATGTGAACTAAAATTAGAATTCTTTTAAAATTAATAATTAAAATTAATATGAAAGTAGGGCTTATTAAAGTAAATTCAATAAATATTAATAGCTTACATATGCCAAGTCTGGTAAATAGCTAATAATAAGAAATATTTTATAAAAATATTTCAAAGTCAGAAATGATTTTTGCATATTTTTTAATTTGGGCTCAGCTTGTGTTTTAAAGCATTGCACTAATTAAATAATATACTTTTCCTTGACCCACCCACTGTGCAGGCGTACCAAAGGGCAGAGAAATGGACGCGGGGAGCTGGGGCAAAAACTATGCAAAGTTTATGCGAATCTAAAATATTTGCACTGGACAAGCGCATGCGCAGCACACTCAATTGTTCAAATACATTTATATATATCTTAAAGGCAGGCTAAAAACAAAAAAAAAAAAAAAAAAACAAGGGAAAAGGAAAATCCAGCAGGAAAGGGGAAAACTGGGCAGCAGCCGCCGATGGCCGATGGCCGGAGTTGAATGTTGAATGTTGGATGTTGGATGCTGCCTGATGCTATCAATTCAAAGTCAAATGGGGGGACAACAAAACAAATCGGCGCTGCATCTATAATGAGCCCCGGCCAACGTGGACCGAACTCAGATCCCTGGCTCAAAAATAAAAGAAAAACAGGCCGGGCCAAGGCCCCGAGTCGGAATTGATGAGAGCGGGCGACCATATGGCCAGCGGGCTCGGGTCCAAACCCAGACTGGCATTTGGGATCTGGGATCTGGGATCCAGGTCCAGACTCGGGGTCCGATGTTTTGACTTGCATGTGCCTCATTGAGTTGTTCTGTTCTGTTCCGTTCTGTTCTGGGCGAAGGCCCCTGTCCCCGATCTTCTTGTGCAGCACGATCGGCTACAGGGACACCCACCCAACGCACACACTCGGGCCCACAAGTGGGGTCAACAAAATAATAAAGAGCCCCCTGGGGTTCCCCAAAAAATTGGGAACCCCGATTGAAACCTTCTTGTTTTTTAACGGACAACACAATATTTGTATTCAAAGGTTTTTCTATGGTCAAATAATTATTATGAAATATTTAAACAAAAAATACATGTATTGATCAAAACTATTTTTTGGATAAATGAATAAAAAGCAAGTTTTATTAGTATACCCTAAAAAATCAGAAATATTTAAAGATTAAAGATATACAAGAATGATTTATTAAAGGAAATAAAGTAATTTTAACAATTCTATGTCAATATATAAATAAATAAAATTAACTTAATATGTAAATGAAATGCAAGGTAAGCCAATGAAAATATTTTATTTCATATTCATTATAAAGAATTGGTTCCACTGCTAGCATTTTGACCGCAGGTGTACCCACAGATTCGTCCAGTGCCCTGGGGCCATCACCGTTCCTAGTCCGATTCGCATTGATTGCAAAAATTGTTGAATGCCGCACAATTGAATCCGGTCGCGGGTCCATAAATGTCTTCATTATGATCTTGAGTAGTTTGGCCAATTTGCTGGGTCCAACTGACCAACCGATAATCGAGGATATAGAGGATATTGTGGGGTTTTCGACCACAAAGTTGAGTGTGTTATTCAATTTTGAATTGGAAATGGGAGTATGTAGGAAAATATTTACATTTAGAGCTTTTGACAATTTTGTTCCAAATGAAAAACTACAACTGAAAAAAACATATCACAAATATATCCCAAGAGTTATATTAATTCTCTTGTTTTTAAATTTAAAATACAACAAATTCTGTTTAAACGCAGTCGCTTAAATAAATATGTAAAATTTATTTTGATGTTGCATTATTTTATAACAAATATCAATCTGCCAATATGTCTGTGCTCTCGTTATTTAAGTAAGAAATTAAAATTGTATAAAACAATGAACTTCTTTGGTCATTCTCGGGGGAAAATTCGCAGTTGAAAAACTGTGCCAACACCCGGCAGACGAATTACCCATGTGACTGAAGGAAAAGTATGCAAATGCAACCGAAGTTCTTGTGGAAATCGGAGTTGGAGCTAAAATCGCACAAGGAAAGGCAAAGGAAAAGGCAAATCAGGCATTAAATTGCTCATGAGGCCGACAATTTCTTTAAACACAGAGCGCAGCGCAGCGGCTGAGTTGGTAATAGAAAAGGATTTGACTCGATTGAACACCCGAATTTGCAATTTTCGAGTTAAGCTCCGTTGCGCCCCCAACGCCTCGGAAAAAATGGTGGGCGGTGAGCTGAAATTATAGCCTGAGCCCAGGCAAGTGGAAGAGCAAACGGAGTTTTTGCCGTCTTTTTTCCAATTGCAGCCTATTTTTTTTGCGCTTTTTTCGGGGCCATCTCTTGGCCAAAGCACTTAACACGTCAACACGGTCGCCGGCACTGTTTTCCCAAGCAGTTTTCGGTGGGAGTTGTGATTTTGTCGGAGCAACGAACCGGGAATACGCTACTTCAGTGAGCCAATAAATACAATTAACAAAAAATATCAAATATAGAATGGTTTTCTTTTCAAAGCTTTTCAAGAAAATAATTAAAATTTGATAATTGATAAAAAACTCATGTATAGTTATACCAAATTATTTAACTAATCAAATTATAACAAAACATAAAGAACACATTATAATTGATTAACCTTATTTATCATATATATATGGATTATTGTTTTATCCACCAAATTTGCCAATTAAATGCGCAATTTGTAAAACAAAGCTTTAACAATTACATTTTTGTAAGGTGAGTAATTAAATTTTTGTGATTTATACGCCTATATTAAATAAGTATTTAATGTTTTTTTTTATACAAAAAGTAGTATTTAACGGTTTTTAAATATTGTTATTTTTATTTACATGTGTGAATTATTTTAAGCGTCGAAAGGCTTTTATTAAGCACAGTATTTTATTACTAGATCATTTTATAAATGACAAGTCTTCATTTTAAACTTTACTAATGATTGTTTTTTAATTCTTTTGAATTATCCCTGATGCCCTTAATAAAACAATACCCCAAAGTTCCTTGGTATTCACTTCAATTGCTCACAGACCTTGTAAATGAAGGAAACTCCGTCACTCCCCTGACTTTTTCGCCTTCACCCAGTGTTTGGGCCATATCGATGAAAACAATGTTGCGGTATTCTGCCTTATGCTGACATGATTACCCAGCTAACCAGCTGCCGAGCCAGATAACGAAGCCAAATCCAATGTCGAGGATAAACACGAATGGTTGATTGTAGGTGCAAGTTAGGTTGCACTGGGAAAAGTAATCCAATTTCAATGGGAGCTTAATTTTTTTTAATGCCTGCATTACATTACACTTATGATTATTGAATTCAAGGGAACATTGTTTTCATTATTTGTATTCTGCACAAGTTATTTATTTTTCATTTAAACATATGTTGTATTTGTGCAAAAAAAGGAAAATAAAAATTAACCTAAGAAAATATTTTAATGTATTTTGGAACCTAAAAGCTCTCTTAATGTTTATGTAGATATTAAAATCAGATCGCGAGTCTATGATAATTTTTCGCCGTGTGTGAACTCACTGGGATTGAGAATGGAATTGGGACTCGCATGTTGCATGCCCATATAGATGGATAAGATGGTCGAAGATCGATTATTATCTATTTTGGCAGAAATGGATCGTGATCGATTTATGCTGAGCGGGGATAAGGCTCTTCAACAAGGTTAAGTGGCTGCCGAGTCTCGAAATAGTATTTATAATGCCCCTTTTTGCCATCCGAGCTGTTAATGTGGCAATAGGAATTTAAGTAGACATGGGGAAAAATTTCCCCACCTCCACTGAATGTATTTGTCCTATCAAAAATATCGTATCGATTTGATACAAAACTCTATTCTGAATAGAGTTTTTTATTGAATTTGTATAGAATTAAACGAAATAGCAAAATGCAATCGTAGTGTTCCCTGACATATCAGTAATTGTCAAGTTGACTGTTCGCTTTGCGTTAGCCGTTTCGATTTGGTTAGTATCGTAATATCTGGCAGCACAAATAAATTTACAAATTACCGATTTAAGTGTGGATATGTCGACGTCTCCCGAAGATCGGTTGCGTGAGAGCCTCAACCGCTGTCTGTCCGACTCGCTGGTGAAGGGATTCGGAGGTCTGGTGATCGGGGGCGTGGTCACCGTGCTCTTCTTCCGGCGGCGCATCTTTCCCGTCTGGCTGGGCACCGGATTTGGCATGGGCATGGCTTATAGGGGCTGTGAGAAGGAGCTCAACGATGTGAAGTTCGCCCAACGGAAGTGATCTCTGGACAGGCGGACACTGAATTTTACTTATGCTTACTACGATTGATTTAATGGCTTGTGTTTACTTGGAATGTGGAACGACACGAGGACGTGAGCTCGATGAAAAATTAAGGGCTGGTGTTGGATAAAAAAATCATAAGAAAAAAGACATAATAAATAAAACTCATATGTTGGCTTTAAAAATCATACTGTCGAAAAACATAAAAATAAACACGAATAAAATTAAAACCTTTTAAAAAAGGTTTGATTGATTGAATGATTGATTAAAATAATATTTTGTTATCCAACAATTTGCAGTCCGCTTCTCAAGAACCCAAGTAGAGTTTGCCAAAGCCCCGCAACCTTCGATCATTTCTTAACCAATTCAGGTAACTCGAATGTATGTATATTTTTCAAGGCAAGTGAAAGCTCTGGTCTGAACACTATTAAAGCAGTTTTAAGGCAGTCTAATCTCGATCAGTATCCGATCGGGAACTAGTGATATACATATGCCAATCGGCGACACATGATCTTCTATTTTGGTCACTACATGTTGCTCTTTTATGTTCACCGATCTGGCGATCTGGTGATCGTTCAAGGGCTCCATAAACCGTCTAATACCGTTGCAGGCTGGTGTTAATGCGACAAGTCCACCGAAATTCCCTCTGCCTGCCACTCACTCTACTCAGATCTACCTCAACTTGCCTTCTTCTCCGAAAGATTGCTATTCGCGATCCATTTGCCAAGATATAGTGGAGAGGGCTGCACTGAGAATCCCGTCTGCTTCCGAGCCAAACCAATCCAGTCCAATCCAATCCAATCCAATCCAATCCTCAGATCAACCAGACGAAAAGACTGCAGTCAAAAAACTGGAGGAGAGATTGTGTAGCACGGTCGGCAATTATAATATATACAAAATCCATTACGGGTCACAGGTCAAATGTAGAAATTGAGATAGATCCGCGGCCAGAGGCTGGATTTGGTTCATTGGCAGCTTTGCACGTTGTCCCCCCTCGAGATTCATCTGCAGGTATCTTTTTTCAGTGCTGCGTAAAGCAGCTACAAGCCAATATCCAATACAAATTTTTTAACAATAATAAAGCTAAACTATTTTTGTAGAAAATTTAGACATTACAGTTTTTTCTATATACTTATTAATAGAAAAAAATAGTATTAAATCATTATTGAACAGATTTTATTTATGAAAACATTAAATATTTAATTATATTATTATTATATTATAATTATATTATTATTTCTCACATAATTTTAAAATTATTTATTTTTTATTGATAGTATATGCATGAAAAAAAATAAATCCAAACTTTGCGAGCTCTCACCATTTTCTAAGAATTAGAACCAAACTTGAACTGCTACTGAATTTAAATAAAATTGTTAGGTTCTAAAAGCAAAAAAGAATAATTATACTTTTTGTTTCAATATTAACATATCTTCTGTGGATTTAAGCTTTTACGACTTTTTAAATTACACATTCTTTAAGCCAAAATATATTAAAGTAAAAATTGATTCCTTAATAAGGATGCCATTTCTTCACTTTGTTCAACGATTTTAAATTATATTTGTACCCTTTTATCAATACTACTTTTCTTGTAGGCTGACTAAATGGCTGAAATGGCAGCACTGATCCTGTCGACATCGTCATCGTCATCGTCGATCAACGCTCAATTCAGCTCAGTTGAGCCTGTAGCGCCGCATCGCATCGCATCCCATGCCCATCAAGATAGTCGAAGACCCATTGCCTCCATCGGTTACCCTCCCTCCAATTCCCGATCCCCGATTCCCGATCCCCGATTCTCGATTCTCGCGGAGCGGCAATCGTGATCGACTCGAACTCTGTATTCTGGATGGTGGTTTCGGGACTCTGGATTCTGAATTCTGTCTGTGGCTTCCACTCGCCGCAGCTCAGAATTCGGCAGCAATTTTTCCTCGCCGTTTTTTTTTTCCACCTTTTCCACTGCCTGGCCATATATATACGATATACACGATATCCGATGCGGCGACAGATTCGTTTTGGCAGCTACGCAGTCTGCTGCGGAGATGATCAATTCGGTTCACCATCGACTAGTTCGTTTATTGAGAACTTTAAGACCTTAAAAAAGAAGTCGTTTTAATTATTGAAAGTTAGATTCAATAAGATTATTAAAAAAATATTTAATGAAAGATATATCTGAAAATGAACCTAATAGTTTAAATAATGAAACATACAATAGAATTAATAAAATGAATATAAATAAAATTGACAAGAAATTAATGGTTTAATATAATAAAAAAATTATAATTGATAAGCATTATAAATACTTTTTTGTAATTTTAAGCTCTCTTTTTTTTTGTTTATAGAGATAATTCTTCTTTTTCCGTGGGAACTAGTTCTCGGATCACATTTGGACAGATCTGGCCACTTACAATCTTCGGCTATACACCATCCCACAAAATCTGAGGCCTAGACCAAGTGGCCAAAACCATTCCTCTGCACTCGAAGCTCTCGCGCTCTCCACGTTTAATAAGCAATTTTGATTTGGAGCAGATTATGTGACGACCGAACGAGCTGCAAGTTCAGGTTGCATGCCACACTGATGCACTGGACCACTGCTGCCTGGCTACCGATACACTGCGAGAATATTATCTCCAATGGCATGTACATATATTGTAAGGTATTTGTATTGTTAATTAATACAATACATACAATTGTTAATATTGTTAAAGTCTTAAGCATTTATCATCCTAACATATTTTTTCAATGTTATTTGTTTTATATTGGTTAATTTTGTTCCCTTCTTCGATTTCTAATAAATCATCTAAGTCATTGACTTATACTATTTTATAAGTATGTTAATATATGTATTTATTGAGTTTATTTTATTTTAAATTTGAAAGCTGCACTTTATTTAAAACCAATTTACTTATTTAATAAAAGGTGTACAGGCCATTACAATTCGTAGAAACTACGTTACAGAATTAGACTTCTAATTAAAATTGCTGTTTGTTCAATAGACATCTATATTTTTACTTTGTGTTCCAAATACAACTTTTGAATGTTTAGAAAATTAAATTAAAACAAGTCTTTACATGTTTAAGGCTCTTTTAAATTTGTACATGAAAGGCATTTGCATATCTTACTATTATTTTAACCACCATCAATTGACTACAATTTTTCGCCCAGTGTAACCGTGCCGAAGGAGCTTTTGACTGCGACTTGCACTTGACTTTGTCGCTGACCCGGCAAAGATTTTTAACTGGGACTTGTTGCCAGTTCCCCGGCTCCCTGATGCCGATACTGTTTACATGGAACTTGTACTGATTGCTCCTAGTCATGCCCCCGATTTGGAGATTCGCAATTTTGTGATAAGCGCGCCGAGTAGCCAAGAGTTCATTTTCGCAGGAATTGCCTGCATTTTTTTTTATTGAATTTTAATTGGTCAAATGCTGATGAGCCTATGAGCCTATGAACCAGCCAATCCAAAGCAGTGCAGTGCTGTCCAGTCTCTGTGAGCTGTGTGAATTGTGAATTGTAAATTGGGAATTGTGAATTGTGAGTCCCTTGAAGATCGCAAAAAGCATGTGCCTGATGGCCAATCCGGAATGGCAAAGGTTCCCAAGAAAATTTAGATCAATTTTCCTAATTTACCCGGGCCGCGGCGATTGCGTGTCGTGGCGTGAAAAACGGCACTTGAGGAAAACCCACAGAACTCGGTGGAAATTCCACCAGCAGAGGAGGATGAGGAGCAGGCACTAGCTGGGGCAGCGGAAAATAAATCACGACTCAAGTTTCGAAAGCGCGAAACTGTTACCAAAGCACTTAAACTTAAATTGGCCAAAGCGAGCTGCGAGCTGCGAGCTAATCCAGCCAAGATCCCACAAAACCCCGACTTTTGCCCGGGCAGGGAGTCCCAAATTAGAAATAGTGTAGATAGATACGCCAATAGAATTTATAGCGAGCCTCGGACTGCGTTCCTTTTGCTTTCCAACCGCTGATGCCGATGCCGCTGCTGCTCCCACTCCCACTCCCACTCCCACTTCCACTTCCACTGCCGCTGACGCTGCTGCTCCTCATGATCATGCCCTGGTCAGGTTAATTTTGGGCACGACCATGCGGCCATGCGGCCATGTGGATGACGATGATGATGGCAACGCACGAAGGAAGCCGCACTGGGTGCACAGCCAAAATAAAAGTTAGCAACTGGATTATTAGGATCATTTTGAGTAAATTTCCGAACTGCATTTTTAAATACCTATTTAAAAAAAAACAAACCATGAGAACATAATTTTTCATGACTGGTGCCTCAATATACATTTTTTTGTTTATTTAATAGCAGTAATTATATGGTGCCTAATATATATAACAAATAAATAAATAGCAATCATTACCGAAATTCTAAAAAGCTAATAAATGATCAAATAATAAATAATATAATAATAATTTATGTATTATAAATATTGAAGTTCATTATTTCATTAGAATTTACTTTTTTAAAATTGTGAAAAAAATATATTTTACCAACCAATATAATATATATATTTTAGCATTCCCCTTGATGCAATTAAATTAATTATTTAAATTACAAAAGCAAACAGGCTTAGCAATTGAGCGTATCAAGCGAAACCAAGCTATTTCGTTCAGTGTAGAAATGGATGAGCAGGCGGTAAGGTGGCGGTCATGGAGCTGAGGCAGAAACGTGCTCAGGGATCGCAGCTTAAGTTTAATGGAACCAATTGAAGATATTTTGTGGGCAAGTGATAAAGTTGTATGCCCAGTTGGTGGGTGCCTTCGTTGCTGGAACTAGGAACTTGGCTTTTCCATCATCAGCAACGAAAAGCCAACAACCAACAGCCAACAACCAACAGCCAACAACCAACAGCCAGCAACTCAGTGCTGCAAGTTCACTCCACGAACCCATTAAATGATGCGTAAGCCCAACGTGATCATGCGTCTCCGAGGGGCCAGATCACACGATTCTGATACGCAGAGTGGAAAACCTGAGGAGAAATCAGCGTGAAAATTGCCAGCGCTGAGTTATGTGAAAATTGCGAAAGAATTTCGTGAGGCGGCTTGTTAGTAGATGGAAGCAAAGCAAAGCAAACCAAACCAAACCAAACCAAACCAAACCAAGCCACAGAAACAGCCAAAACCAAACTCAAGTCAAACTGAACTAAACTAAAGTAAACCAACATTGAGGAGCCAGATCCAAAGGCAATTGGCCTGCAAT